ATAAATTCTCTAAGTATAATATTTGTTCAATATTTCTAATAAAAAATATAATATAATATTTACTTACCTTATGTCTAATTTTATTATTTAAAAATAATTTAAATATAGATAAAAGTAGCTAATTTTCATTAAACATTAAGAAAAAAAAGAAAAAAAAGATTATAGATTAAATTGAATGCAATATGATTTTATGTATAAATTAATATGTAATATAGTTGAAATTGCTAAAATTGTAAGAATAAAAAATCTAATATTCGTATTTTGATAACTAGTTATCTAAGAAGATGAAATTTTTTTAATACTTATGAAAATTGGTATAAGTCGCTTAAAACTAAATTCATATTAATTTTCCATTAATTAAAAAATCTTAAAAATCTTAAATATTCTTAGTCTTTGGAAACTATTTATTACCATGAGTGAAATTCGATATTGACAATATGCAAAAAAAATCATTTATAATATAGTTAAGTTTCATATCACCTTACATGGACTTTTTGAAGGTTTTTCCAAATATTATATTATACTTTGAATTGTGCCCTGTATCATATAATTGGTTATTTGACTTTTTTTATTTATCAGCCATGTATAACCCATTTCCTGTACCCTTTTATGACTTCATATATTTTGCAATATTTCAATATTTTCATTTCTTGATCCTTGTCTGATAAGATAATAAAAACCAATAAAATTCTAATTAAATTATTATTAAAAACTACATCATTATGAATATTCTAAATAATCATAAAATGTTTTATTTAAATAGTGGATACTATAGAAAAAGCTTTTCTAGGAATATACACCTTTATATAATATAATGTGCTTAAAATATATAATAGATTGAGTACGATAGGTGACGTTGTTTTATATTGAATTTTTGGTAACGTTTAATCTTGTAAAGTTAATTTATCTCACGTGGTTCTTAATACGTAGAATAAGAATTGTAAGCTGCATCATAGAAAAATTTCTTGAGCTTAATTATTTTAACGCGAGTCACATTTACCGTATAGTCTAAAATATAAATTATGTTGATATCTGTTGAAGAGATGATACTTTATTCTATAAATATTTTATAGTACTACTTCATATCCATGTAATAGTACGGTACTTGATTTTTTAAATATATTTTAAAAATTATCACTGTATGATTATTTTCTGACGTTAATTCATAAACTGTTTTAATCAATCTATATATTTTAATAGCCACTTTAAAATTTAATGTACTGTATTCCGTTAATATTCATGTTAATCCATTATGTACCAAAATACAATTCTGCGTGACAATCTGAATAAAAAACTACTTAAATCTATAATAATTGCTGGCTTTCATTGTATATCATTAAACTTCCACATACAAGGTCTCAAAATTACATTATTAATCATAAAAACATAATATATTTCAAGTTTGTGCTATAACAAATTTTATATCCACTCAAAGAAATTGGTAATAGTTTTATTATTACTATTTTATTTTTTTATTTTTTATTCAAATAATTTAAAACGCATCTTAAATAATAAAAAAGTTTAAATACCTAATTAATATTAATACAAACAAAATGATCTACATATTTAATAGTCCTAAACATTGTATAGCAATATACAAACTAGAGAGACTAGAAATTTAATGCAATTAGAAATTTAATGAAAACTTCAAAACTTTTTCAAAATATATTTGATAAAAAATTTCTTAATATTTTATATATTTAGTACATACAAAGTAAAATAAATTTTCATGAGAATTAAATAACTCCATACATTTCATATCGATATACCAAACTTTAGAAATTTTAAAATTTGGAATGAAAGTTTATGCTAGGTTTATGTAATACATTTAATATTTATGATGCATAAAATAACCTTCAAAATACTTAATTCTTAATAAATTCATATAAATGGTCAAAAAATTACTTTTCTAATTATAACCAAGTTATTTTAACACCTGTCACGCAAGTAATAAACATCATTTCAAGTATTTTAATACAAATAGTATGAATATAAATCTTATATATTCGTTTTGAATAAATTTAAAAGTAAATGTAAAATTAATTTCTATTGAATAAATGACACGTATATGCACAGACAGATATACTGACGTAATGAACAACAAAAATCCAATCGCCGTTCAACTGCATATACACGCACATATTTGTAGTATAAAATCCCTACCCTTGTTTATAATTGAAACCCAGTCCATTAGGTATTTCAGATGTCCCGATTCGTTGTTGAGGGAAGAGGGACAAAAATGAGAAATCGAGTTTGAACGGTATTCTGTGCGTGCAGCTTCGCATATACATTTTATTCGACACTTTTTCCCCGCTTTCATCAACCCTGCATCAACTAGATTCTCTTTGATCTAAGCTTTATCACTTCATTTTTATTTCCTTTATTCATGTACTATGTTATTACTATAGGGTTAATATATTGTTTTTAACGTATATCGTAGGCTATTGATTTTTTCAATTCTAAAAGTGCGATATCAATACTAATTTGCCATTGCCGATTTAGAAGCTAACCATTCATTCATTATTTTTCATTCGTTCAATTTTTTTTTAAACCATATTAGTAACTTGTAATCTTGTATATTTTTAGAGACTTATATAGAATATTAAGAAACTTTTGATTGTTATGAAACTCTATTAGTAGCATAATTTACATAATGTACCATGTCATTAAATAATTTTAATGTATAAATAACATAAATTATATTTGTATACTACATTGTAGCAATAATTTCGAAAAAATTTTGTATACACATTATATATATGCTTATTAAAAGATATGTATATTAATGAGAAAAATTATTTATAAAAAGCTTAAAAATAGGAAATTAGAATAGGAAGTTAAAATAAAATTCAAAACTCGAATAAAAAATTATTTAAAAACAAAGAATCATTAGAAAATTGATATAATTTCTTTAATGTAGAATACTTTACTGACTTGCGCTAGAATTATATTAAATTCCTCGTATTCTATGTAATGCGAAATAAAATAAAATAAATCTCTAGAATTGGAAATATAATGTCTAAACAAATTTTTTAATCCAAAAAAGAGGTATAAAAACTAGAACCAAAAATTGGAAATGCAATATAATTAACTAAAATTAGAATAATATTGAAAAAGAAATGTGTAATATGAAAGACACATAAATAAACATTCATTGTGAAGCATAAAAAAAATAAAATATAATATAGTTTTTAAAGAAAGTGCCGTTTAGATACAAATAAGCTGCTACTTCAAATAATATTCACAAATATATAATTAATATCATCACGTTTGACAATAGTATCAATTTCATGCTTATGATTATAAATTTTCCGACTAACTGCACAGAAATTACTGATAACAAATCTACGATATTATCGAAAATTTCACGTCAAAGTTGAGAAATATTTAGACCAGAAATAAAAACGATTTGATGCTTTGAAAATAAATAAAATCAACAGACTGAACTGTTATAACAAGTTTGAAACAAACCGCCTCTTCCTTCCCACTACCGAGCCCCTATCGCTACCTTAGTCTCGCCTGAAACCGTGGACCAGCCCACACTCGTCGATCATAGTAAAACAAATGGAAAAGCTGGTAAACGGAGCTCACGGAACAACATGAGGAAAGGTAAAAGAGAGTGACTCGGCATTAGCTGGCGACGGCCTAACATCCAGCCCCCGTAAAAATAGACGTGGCGTCTGTCTTTCGCACGCGTGGAGACGCTGTTCTCTCGTTAGGCTGTCGCCGATTGCCGATTCGATCGATCCCTAAAATATCCCGCTGTGTAAAAAGCGCCCCCGCTGCCGGCGGGGAAGCTCCAAATTGTTGGGCTGCTTGGTTCTCGTGTTACTTTATGGCACGGCACTACGGCTTCAACAAGCACGACTATTTGGGAAAGTGGAAGTCGATCGTTTTCTTTGGTACGCCATTTAATGGTTTTTAACGACAAGAGCCTTCCTTTTTACTTTCTCTGATCCTGTGCCTTTCATTGAATTTCTTGTCCATTGCCCGACCATGTTCCGCCAGATATTTGCGATTTTGGCTTTCTGGCGCATTGTTCGTCTTCTCTGTGCACCTGCTAGTTTTTTAAGTGCACGTTGAAAGTAAGAGACTCGCCCTATATATCGTTGTTCAAATTTTATAAAATATTTTATAATTTTATAAAATATTACCATGCATTGTTTCATTTTATTTAAAAACTACGGTTAGTTCGTGGATAATTTTTTATTGAAATCTAATCACGATTAATCAATTATTCGCAAATTGTTGGTATTTAAAATTAAATTACTTATATTGAGCACTTTGCTTAACAAAGTAATTGAAAAAATAAGTAATTGCATTTTATACATAACTAAGAGCTTATTGTACATGGACTTAAAATTTCTACTTGCATTGTATGCTTCTAATAGGAATGGACGTATGTATTTGAAACTATTTCTCCGCTTTCTCCGTTTCATTAGCTTATTACATCCAGAAAAGCAAAATAATTACTCAACATCAAGATATTCAATCTTTTTAATTACAGCTCACATATTTATGGGAGTAAATACGTATTACCAAATTTTAACAATAAATATAATTAAAAGAATATTTTATTTACTAAAGTACTGAGCTTAATAAGGTGATTATTGCCAAAATTTATGACTAAATTAAGATTAATTTATTAGCAACTTATGAAAAAAACAATAATAATAATAATAAAGAAGTAAAACATGCTTGGAAAGTAAAATTTTAAATAAGGAAATTCAAGGAACTTCGGATATCTCATTTCAACTCAACACAAACAAAAATTTATCTGAGCATATTTGTATTTTAAAGAAAATATCGATTGATATAAGAACGCATACACACGAAATTTCTGTTTAATTCGTAGTTCTAACGTAGATTTTATTCATCTTAAATTTGTCTATGAATAACAATTACTTAGATTATGATGATATTAAGAACATGATTAAGGTTCTCTTAATTATTGAATTGGATCAATATTTCAGCGTCGTTTCTTATTATTTTTATTTTAGGTGAATAACGGATCTCCAGCCGCGGCAGCGGGTTTGCGGGCGGGCGACGCTGTCATAAGAGTCAACAGCATCGATATGTTTAATCTCAGGCACAAGGATGCGCAGGACGTAATTGTCAGGGCCGGCAACACCTTCGAAGTGACCGTGCACAGGTACTTTTTTTTCTTTTAAAGAAGCTTTTTTTGCCGATTGTGGTGCTCTCAGTTAATACAAGATTGCCGCGGTAGAAGCAGTTAAACTTTATGTCCTTATCCTCCTTTTTCACTTTTATTTCATTTGTTTTAATACTTATGAATCATATTACATTGACTTCAACTATTAATTATGAGGTATTAATATAGAAGATACTTTTTGAAAAATCATAACAATTTATATTTAATAAAACTAAATCGATTTGAATTCTTTTACTATTACCGTTTATTAATTTTTCGATCAATATCTGGAATTCATCTCGCGATAAATACTTTATCGAATTCAAAAGAGATAATTTAGACACATGATATATGACGTATTTTATAAGTATTAATATTAATTCTGATCTCGTGAATTCTTAAAATATTTATCAAAAAAAAAATAATTGGAGATTAATAGTATTTGTAAAATTAAATACGTCAAGAATCTCGACCAAGATAAACGTATATTAGTGTAACGGTATGCAATTGATATTAAACCCGGCATAATAATACCGACACTATGCAATAATACACACCACAATCATTTAATTGCAAGCATTGTTTTGTTTTAGTTTATGTAACATAATATCTTTAAATTAAATATCTTCTTATATATATTAACATATCTTGTTTAGCAAGCAATAAGAATATTCTTATATTGAATTATATAAGATCCATCGATTGAAAATTCTATATTTATAATACCAATAAACTTTGAAAGTTTGACTGTAATTAACTGACGATTTAGCAAAAGAGCTGAACCAGATAAAAATATTCAAAATCGTCATGGAACCGTACAAACTAAAGATTAAAAATGATTGCAAAAAGGGGAGACGTAAAGGTAGGCGCAATTCTTGTTCTCTTTACCACTGACACTCTTTTCTGTCTATTTCCGGCTAATGTCTTAGGGGTGTGAACACGTGGAGGCCGAGTGTCTCACCAGTAACAGCGTCGATCCCAGCGCCACAACCCCAGCTCCCAGCCAGCAATATACCCCCAGTGACGAAGACCTCGTTAGCGGCCAAGAAGCAGGATATCCACCTCATCGGCAGCGGGCACAACTTTAGTCCCAAGCCGTTCGTAAGTATTGTGCGGACGTGCCGTGCAGTGACGCTTCCCGGTCACGCAAAAATAGACTCGTCGCGTACGCTCATTAAACCCATTTGCGATTCGCAGTGAGTGCCATCAACGCTTATAGCGTCGCCTGCCCTGATTAGTCTCTTACTCTCCAGTGTTTTGCTTGCCATTACTCGCACTCGAGACACGCGAGTGTAAAAGTACGCTGGAGATAACCGAGTATTGCAAAAACATTACACTTTGACTAACGCTTTTTTCACTTGCTATAAGTTTATTATGCCGGGATATTAGCAACATTTCTCCTAGATGACAGTTGCATAACTTATCCGTATGAATGGGCTTGCTGATTATGTGATGTAAAGTGCTCTTAACTTCTTACTTATTGCTTTACTTTTCGATACTTATCTACTTGTTACACTGCAGGTAATACGATATCAAATCAATATTAATATTATAATTGACTTTTAAGTTTATATTACGGTTTCTATTCTTCTCTTGGTTAAAATTGATATATTTTGCTCGTCTTTACGAAATTTTACCGGACAAAGTAGTAAAATATCGATTATGAATTCAAAAGCAATAATTAAATGTCACTCACGAAAGAAGAAAATGTGAGGTAACCTCAATTACGTAGAATAGTATTGACAAATACATAGGTGTACTTATGCTTATGTATATATATTTCAAAAGTCAATACATTATTAATTGTTACTTTTTAATTTATTAATACTGCATACATTTTTTTAATGTCATAGCTTAATGGAACAAGTGATGGTACAATAAAGTCAATAGTTAACAAGCAGTACAACAGCCCCGTTGGAATTTATAGCGAAGAGACAATCGCTGAAACATTATCAGCTCAAGCTGAAGTATTGGCTGGAGGTGTATTAGGGTAAGCAAATGAAACTTTGGATATTCGAGTAAGAATACTTTAATTATATGGAATGTCGATACGTCGCTTCTTGTGCAAGTTTTCATTTATGACGTAAACATTTAGAGTGAACTTCAAGAAGAACGAAAAGAATTACAACGCTCAGAACAGTGAAGTATTTAAGATGGTTCAGGAAGCTGATAAGGAACCAAGAACACCCGAGCCTGGTTAGTTTCTCACACATTTATTATTTTCGATATATTACCTATTTCTCTTTTCTATTTATGCAAGTTAATGTTTAAATACGTATTATACCGATAAATTTATGTAAAGTGAACTTACGAAATCAATACAGGTAGGGGTACAACAATGTTTTAATTTGGTCAAATTTATCCTTAATTTTTTTTATTTTTAATGAATATTGAATAATGAAAATTATTATATAAATTTAAAAAATTTCAATGCTACATCTAGTAATAAATTGAAAAAGATCAATATATTTTAATTACATATTTTCACTTACTTAATATGTTTAATAAACAAAATCTTTTTTTTATAATATCACAATTTTTAAATATAGATTAAAACATATCGTATCTACACAATCAAATGTAATGAATGAAATTCTTGCTCAATTAAAAATAATAGAAAGTAAGATATTTTGATTCAAAATTTCTTTCTAACATTACTTACATTTTTTATCTATTTTTTTTTAACAAATATCGAAAAAATTAAGTTGATAAGTCGATCTTAACGACGGTATATTCTTTGTCCCCTCGGTTGATGTAACTGTTATTAAATTGTGCTCTCTTTTATAACTGTTGATCGAGCAAGCATTTAAGCATGTGTAGATAGATACCTTTTTTCGCTTGAAACAACTTTTATGAAGAAGTCGAGGTTAACCTAACGCTGTAATCCCCCCGACTAAGTTTCATTAAAATACATTTCATAAGAGCGTAGAAAGTGAGACAGTGCATGTATGCGTGTGTGTGTACAAAAGCAAGATAAGGAATTAAAAGCTAATGGGGAAAAACAAATGTGGATCAAACAGCAGAGCCGTTGCCCCACAGCGGAGTCGTGACACCGACGTCGCCGACCCTGACTGGTCTGCGTTCAGTCCAAGCGCCGGAGACACGGCCTCAGTCCGGCACACCCCAGCCGAGCCTCTTACCCGGACAGAACATCTGTGCTGATTGCGAGAGGCTTATTATGTAAGTTTCGCCATTTGCAGGTCTGCGTAGCGGAACAATGTCCAGACTCTCGACTAACGGCTCGAACTCCTTCTTGGTTATCAAAAAATCCCGTACAAGCAGAAACCGCATACCTCCCCGGGGCTGGAGTTGTTCACTTTCTCTAATTTTGCATTTCTATTGAGTCCCTTGATTCTCGTTGTTATAAAACAAGTAAGAGAGTGGCGACGAAGTTCGCTCTCGCGAGTACCTTCCTAAGCTCCCAGGAACTCCTCGGTCGTAACGGAAAAAGCTTTCAAAACTAGCGAGTTTCAGCCCCGGGCGATCACGGCCTCGATCTTCTTGGCAAGTAAAAGACCCTCGTGTATATTTGTGCTACGTATAAAGATGGTTCTCCTGTTGTTTGTTTCTCCACGGCACAGTCCCGACGCGGATACAGCACTATTTGTCGGTGAGCCATGCGATCAGCAGAAGGTCGTGCGGCCCAAGGTCACCCTTACCCCCGTGGACCGCCAACGACACCCGTAACCCCGGCACTCCGACCCCGCGGCTCCAGCAACGAACAACCATAATCGACAATCTTGTCATCTGCAACACCTGCGACAGTCTGATCGTGTAATTTTTAGTAGCTTTGGCCCAGCAGCTCATGATGCATCTCCATTTGCAATTATATCCTCTAATAGTGGTTATTGATCCTTCGACTTATGTTCGCAAGATCATCTACTACAGGAGGGAATCCATTTGCAAACCTCGGTCTCAGCTTTAACTCCCTCAAATCGGGAGCAGATCTAATTGTGTACGATGCTTTCTTCGTGTAGTTTGTGTATTTACTAGCTGTTGCTATCGCTCATTATTTTGATGGTCCACCTCTGTACGCTATCACAATTCCCTAATGATATGAATCATATCTCTTTCTTCCTCTATGTGGTCTCAATTACTGCAAAGTTAACTACTATTTAATGTCGGATAAGAGACAACATGAGAATTTGTTTAGAATTTCATACTAGTAATGTCAATGTAATATAAAACTGAACTTTACTTCAAAATCGTACAGAATGTTAAGACTTTATAATTTATTACAATTTTAAACACAAACTTAATTATAAAAATATATTTATATTATCAATTTAATAATAATTAAATTAATACTTTTAAATAATTACTATGCAAGCCTTTAATATATAGATCAAATGTTTTATTATTTTGTATCATAATAATCATTTTTTATCTCATAACTCTTTATTTATTGTTAAGTTCATTTTTCATTTCATAAAATACCTTCACTTTCATAACATTTCATATGTAGCTTTCTCCATAAATATATGAATAAAATAAAATATTAACTGCTTTATAAAAACTTTTTATTTTAATAGGCACTTTGGCAAATAATATAATTCTTTTTTATTGTGCTAAAATAAAAATTTTCCTGCTTTATTTTAATGAAGCAAAATTAAAAAATGATAAATCTACATTTTAAATAAAGGTATTTTTCTGAATCAACTATTTATTTGATAGTAAGTATATAATAGACTAGAAAAGATGTAATGTACAAACATAAATTTCTTATCGCGATATGAAATTTTACGGCTTTTTTCAAAATTCAAAATATAACAGCATTGATTGTAGAAAAATTCTAAAAAATATTGGGCCAAAATGTTTGTTTTAGATTGATAGCAATTTTGCAAATAAACATATATTGTCATCTTAAGCTTAAAGTCATATTCAATCGCCAATATTTAATATTTCATATTTACATATCCGAGAGAACATTTTAAAAAACTCTAAAAGATGCAAGTGGATAAATCACTTTAAGAAAATTAATTAGGTTAAAAAATTTAATTGCCTTAGATTAAATCTAAGATATGCTATTTAAATAAAGACGCACGGTGAAAAGTAAGCTATGAGAGTCCAAGAATACACATTCAAATAATAGTAGTCACTCTGAATTGAAATGGAACCTTCTAACTGCCAATAGTTTTAAGCCTGTTGTGTATAATGATAGGAAAACCGAGAGGTGTCAAGGACGCGTATATCCTTCTATGTAATGTACATTACACATTGTACATTAATCATTTGCTAGCAATTGCTATAGTCGTATTTTCCATCCAGCATTTAGCGAGCTGTTCTAAATGAAGTGTTCCTCCACACACACCCAATGTTATTCCCGAACATATACGTTGTAACGAAGAGTTGCATCTGTTGAGCCACGACATTATCATTATTATCTAATGCTTGTCTTATTGTGGATAGTCAGTGTCTTTTTTTATTGGTCTTTTTTATTGTTATATACGTATTCTTCTTTTTTCTCATAATTTTTATTCATGCTCCAAAAGCTCTTAAAAGTGCGCCTATTAAATATAGCTTTTGCTCTTATTATACAAACTTTCGTATCTGTGATAGCGTCATCTTCGACTGTTTTTTGCCGCTAATTGTTTCTCAATATCACGTCATATAGCTTTAGATGGAAGTAAATAGGCTGCATTGTATTTTAATTTTAGTTCATTGGCCCATTCAAATACATCAACGGTTAAAGTAAAATGATTTTTCATAAGGAGTTTTTTCTTTTTCATAATTTAGTAAAATTTTCTCTCTGTGCTGTCTTATACAAAAACATGTTTCTTGATGGACAAAACGTTGTTCGCTACCAAGTGTGATTTCGAATCGACTTCCTTTTAATAAACTTAAAAAAATTCAAGAAAATATTTTCAAGAAAGTAATCATATTTAGCGAATGCAAGAAAGATTAAAATAAATTCATTAGTACTTCGTCAAAAAGGATATCTTTCTACAAAATCAAAATAAGTCGATGCTAGATCATTTACCTCTATATCTTACTAACATATTTTATTTTGGCTTCGATTTACGTTTTAACGAAATTAAACAAATGTGTGTTTAATGACAACTATTCGAAAAATCTTATTGTATAATAGAATTTTAATTTGAAAATAAAATCTGTAAAATAACAAATTTAATCGATATAGAAGAAAACTTTGATATGAAAAATTATTTATCTGATTGATTATTATAGAGTAGACCATTTTCATAATTATTACTTATTCGATTTTACTGAAATTTAATCTAAACTTAAGAGATAAATCATTAACAATGAATTTTATACTTCGATACAAAAAATTTTTAATTCTTATTACTTGTAACATTATACCTTAATATACCTTCATAATATCGAATAGTTTTATTTCTCAATGTTTATCATTATTACTGTTCAACAAAAAAAATGTAATTATTTTTTTTAAGTCATAAAGCTACACTTGATTGATTTCATTAATTAATAATATTCTGAAGCTTGTGCATCAATCAAATACTCAATAAGCCTCTACTCCGCATTGATAATTTAGTGGTGTATTCGTGAGAATAAAGGAGAAGAATCTTCACGTCGAATGCTTCAAATGTTCAACCTGTGGAACTTCCCTCAAGAACGTCGGTTATTACAACATCAACAATAAATTGTACTGTGACATCCATGCTAAATTGGTCGCCAGACAAAACGCACCAGCTGGACTCATACCAGTAACTGTTGGACCGTACGTTTAACATATCTTAATTTATCTTTTGAACTACAATCAATTTTCAAATTTATGAACATGAGGAATTGATAATAATATAAAGTAATCCTTTGATTTCAAACTATTTTCAGTATTGATCAATATTGCTTCAGTATTTAACACGTTTCACACTGTTCTTATACATCATTATACTCATTTATTATATATATATATATATATATTACTACTGTTAATATTGTTGAAAAAAAATATTAAAATTGTTTATACCTTTAACTGAGTCTCTTAAAAAATAATTTCTAAATTGAAAAATTATTTGAAATTAAAGTTATAAGTATAGTTGAAGTTATTTATTATTTTCTGTAACGATTATTTTCTTAAAAAACACTTTTAAACAAAAATCACTTAATTTAAAACACAAATACACATATATTTTAAAGGTGTTTAAAGTGAATATGATAATTCATATAAATAGTTTATCAATAAATAAGAATATAAAAAATAAGTTTAGTTATAAATATAAGTTATTACGTTCGTATTTTTACAGTGGTCAGAAAGCTCCTGTAAGTACGATTTCTGCGGCGTTATCGAACATTGGGTCTCATTCACCATCATTAAGTAATCATGGAAACTCAGCGCCTCAGCCATTATCAGTGCGTTGAATTGTTTTATTTAACTTTACTCTTTTAATTAAATTTTGAATTAGTTTTACATTTTTATCATAAATTTTGCAATTCCAATATTTTTAAGAAAAATATTATTTTAATGAAATGTAGCATAGTTTTCTAATGTTGATTTAAACGATAATCTTTTAAGATTATATATCTCAAAAATAAAAAATTACTGTTTTATAGCTATATTTATATATTATATATTTATATACTATATTATATAACTTATAATTCATAACTTCTAAAATAATAATTTACTTGTTATTGCTTAAGTTAATTATAAATGTAATTAATTATTTAACATTATAAATTGATTTGAAAATTATTAGTAGTTTTGAAAATTACATTTAAATTTATTTGAGCAAATTTACTTATATAGAATTAGGATAAATGCATTAATAAAAGCTAACTATATATTTTATTTAAAAAATGATAAAGTCGACTTTGACAAGAAAAATCTTTTACATCGAATTAATATCTTACATTAGTAACTCCTTAAAGTAAAATTGGATTATGACTAAATTAATTAGCATTGTTAAAATAAGTGTGTAATGAATCTGGCATATGCAATGCAGTAATTTAACTAAATTAAACAATTAACTAATTAACGTATTCAACGATTTTTTAAATATATTTATTAAAATTACTAAAGCTTTCGCTTTGTCGAATCAATTAACTAAATTATTTGATTTAAATGTTTGAAGTAAGTAGTCAACCTATTGCATGGATAAACTGCAGTGGCTCATTTTTCAAAATATTTAAAAATTTCACGATATATTTTTCAAATGAATCACTGTCTTCATAAACTAGTATTAAATACTAATTTCTTACAAAAGATGAGAACAATCGTGTCAATGTCAAATATATGTCAATGCCGAAAGTTAAATTTGAAATTAAACGTTTAATATCATATTAATATAAAAGTAATACACTTATAAGGTCTTCGAGCATAGACAAACACATTTCTTATTGACCGAAGATAATTAAGATGGATAAATTCAAATAAAAGAAGTTTTTCCATAATTACGAACTAGCTTAATGCATAAAGTAAAACCTCGCTTGTTAATAGCAATTTTATTCACTCTAGCACTGCGTTTTACTTATTTGTACTCATCAGTAACAGAAATATGAGCATCTCTTGCTTTCTTTCGGAAGCGATGTACATAATACACAATTATTAAGTGTGATAAGTTGTGTGCGTGCGTGTGCGTGTGTCCTCGGCAGTAACCGCTTTTACAGAGCTACATGCAGAGCTACAGTCCTGATCAGCATCAACAGCCTCAGCAACAACAGCAGCATTATTACAACAGCTACGATGAGATAAACAGCAACGGTGTCGAACCGGCAACTCACTGCGAATCGAAAACGTACACGAGCACACTGACCATCCGGACGCAAAGTAATGGTCACGGACTCGACTGTAACCGTAACCCCACTAACAACTACATTAACAACACCGACAACAAGCTGCACAAGCTCGCAGATAGCATACGCGATTTCGCCCTTGAGCAGCAACAAGACGGCTACGAGTTCGACGAACGGGACTACTGCCCGCAAAGCGCGTACACGCAAACCCTGAAGGTGACTATTCGCGCCTGAGACCGACGTCGAATTAACTTTACAGTCTCTAGCCATATCGACGAGTAATTACGAATTCTTAAAACTATTGATCCCATGAGTCAGGGATGGCCAAACCCCCATCGTGGAAATGTTTATTAGGAAATTCGTTTTACTTCCTCTCGCCACTTTAATAATCTTACTAATGCTTACATTGTATCATTTACGATGAACATTAATATTATTTTTTATCATAAATAATACCAAGTAATTCTAAACGCTATAATACTAATTTAAGATATACATACACAAATACACACACACAGGCATATATATATATATCTTCAGTAAGAAAAACGAGTAAGGAAATAACAAAGAAAATAATACCAATATACGAAAGTACAAGATATCTGCAATCTTTTTTTAGAATTCCAATGGTTTCATTCTTTCATTTTTTAACAATTTTCTATTTCTCTTTTGGCGTATTCTAAAATTCAATAATAATCATCGATAATATTTTATGATATAAAAGAATTTTTCATTTTAATTTTTATAATTTTTTTATATTATTGAATTTTTATAATATCATTAAAATAAATTAGTCGCTCTGCTATCGCGTATTTGCAATGTATATATTACTTATAACATTTATGTTGATTATCATTTATATTTGTTTATATTACGTAAGATTTCTTAAAATTGTCTTTTCTTGTTCATCAAAATAAATTATATTCGTTTGTAGATATGTTTTTAAACTTTTATCTATTTGAAGTTGACCTCATTCTCGTCATTGGTAATCACAGACAAGCAATTATATTATTTCGATCGATTATTATATAAATATTTCTGAATATTATTTTCGGTATTTTTTTTTAATTCGATGCTTATCTATAACTTTCTTTTTAAAAATTATAAATACGTTATAAATGTTTTACTTATTGAGAATACTAAAATAATCTATAATATATTTCATTTACCTCGTATCATTCATGCAATATATGCCTATTCACAATCCTAAATTCTATATGATACATTAGAATATAGACGTACACGCGTGCTTTTATGTGTCGAATTCTATAAATACTAATGAATTCATACATACATTAAATGCCATTCTTATTTTGTATTCAATTATAAATTATATATATATATATATATATATATATAATGTGTGCGTGTGTGTGTGTGTGTGTGTGTGTGCGTGTGTGTGTGTGCGTGTGTGTGTGTTTATGAATACATATCGTATATATATGATATACATATTATATATATGGGCGCGCGCGTGTCTATCTGGAACTTCCTAACATGTGCAAGCACGTATATCGATATCGGCGATTCGGCAAATATTTGCCATCAATATTGTTACGTATTTTCCAACAGCAAATCTGCAAAAACAGAGCTAAAATGAAAAGAGAAGGGTGGGATTAAGAGGTGAGGAAAACAATCGTATAACCTCGGTAAGGTCACGCTTCGAGTACCCATTGCATTGCGTTGGCATAGCTTCCGGACTCGTGATCGCGACTCTATCCTTGGTTGCATCTCATTGAGCTCAGCAACACTCGCGTCCAAGCCCTCGTCGAAGACGCCTGTCGCACATTCACATTTTCCACGAGGATCAGACTCGGCAGCCTTCCCGGCTTATTGTAATTATCACTCTCCATATCCGCTGCTGTCCTTTACCTCCAGAATTTGTCCTTTTTATAGTTGTCACTTTGTTTATATCCGCTTCATTTGCTTTAAATTTTATAAAAAAATGGATAATTTTTATTGAACGCTTTTTATTTATGCTGCGCGCTTGCTATTCGTACGTTTATGAATAAGTTCACCAATTCTTGCGCGAGTTTTGCAAAACATTAGTTTTCTTAAAATAAAATATTTGTTAATTGCAAATCTGTAGCAGCCTTTCTGTTCTTTTAAGACTTAAATTTACAATTGTTTCGATATTTACGTGTATCAAATTAAATGCTTTTAAGAAAACCGTCCTTGTGTCGTTTCTCTTCATATAGAACAAACATTTGCAGTTATTTTACATCCTGTTCCACGTAAGCTAACTGAAAAATTATAGACTAAGGAGAAAGCCAATTAACTGTACTAGTGTGTGTGTGTTTGTTATTTTGCAGGTGCCAACGACTAATAATATTGGTGGCCCTAAGCCCTTCCTAGGCTCAACCATCTCGAATCAGAACTATTCGTCCTCACCTATTATTAATACCGGAAGCAGTACTTTACCACGTTCTCAGACTCAATCTTTAAGTGGTGGTGAGTTTCTTTTACAATAAATACATGTTTTATTCTCTATACATAATCTGTCATATAAATAGAACAAACATTACGTACTCGCAATGCACTCGATGCATCTACTGTTGCAGTACACCACAGTCAACAGTGTGAAAAATTTGAAAAGTTTGAAAAAGTTTGAAAAATTAGTTGTGGTTACTTATATCGTTAATATTAATAACGATTAATAATATTAGCGATGAAAGTAATTAATTCATAGTAAGAAATAAAAAAAAATTTTTATGTTAATTTTACGTTTATGTTTTTCTTATAATAACCGCCCATAAAATAATATTTAAATAGCAACTTCTTACTTTTTATAATGTATAAAATCTTCTTTTTTTCGTTAATTATTTTTATATATAGCGAGTACATAAATATTTACTATCACAAAGATAACGATAAAAAACTTTGAAATTCTATGAATCAAGTAGTAGTAGTTACTTATAACGTTAAAATATAAGTGTATTGTTAAGTATGATAAATATATTGGTAAGGAAGTATGTGCAATTTGTTAAAATCATCCTTCTTCAAATAAGTCAAAGTTAATAAATTTAAATGACTTTATTTTCGTCATTTAACCTTGAATTCAATTCTCACAAATAGGTCATTTCTCTGCTCTGCCAATGTTAAAATATTCTCATTTTAAAGTTACAACGACTGTCAAGAAATTTTACCACATGACGCTAGATTTTGTAATTGTGATCTTCATATCGTAGGCTTCTATAGGGCTTACCTTATAAGCTTTATTTTTATCTTCATTCAACAAAAAATCTCTTTATCGATATACTAATTGCTCTTTTATTCTCTCTTCATTCTTTTTTAATTATTTACTCGATTCCATTCATTATGATACTTCGATCAGTACTGTAGAGAATTTAATCAATAAACTAAAAGTATGTATGTATTTAAATCCAAATAAATTATATTGCCTAATTAAGTCTTTTATATAAATATTAATTAATTTATGTTACATTAATGTTCTTTTATCATTTTTCGTATATGATTTATATATAACGTACTCTGATATGATAATAAATACTTTTACTTTACAGAAGCGAATAATTATTAAATTAAATACAGTATTAAAATAATAATGGTTCAGTTTTAATAATATTTCATATTATATACAACCATGCTCTACGAGAAAAATTTTTTAAATTAAAATCTTAAGTACTTCATTAGTCTCCAAAGGTCGATATAAGATAATGATAAAAGAATATTTGAAATAATTTATGAATTAAAACGGTTTATATTATTTTCTCCCATATAATTTCATACATCTCAAACGTAAGATCATAGATTATTAGCTTAAATTAAAAATGAAATTTAATTATTTACTCAATAAAATTAAAATATAGCTATATATGAATATAAATAGAAGAAGGAAATTTGCATAATGCAAATCTTATTTATTCAGGTTAACAATCATTTATATTACATATACGATCCAACAATTCAATATACTCATTATAAATTATATTTGAGAACTTGATCAAATAAGAAAGACATGCATACGATGCATTTCAGCAGTTGAAGTGATAATAGAAATTCGTAAAAACAACTCTATTAGGACTAAGGAATCAGGGCAAATAAATATATGACTTTGAAGGCCGGTAAAGAGTTTAATTGAAAATGTAAGCATCGACATATACGCTCGGCGACGATTTGCGAGTCACTTACTCGTCAGCCGAGTGCAATAATCTCCATTTGTCACGTCAACTGACGAAGACCGAATTCCAGGGAAAATCAGGCTAATGCAAAGGTTCCGGGAAGTGTTCGATAATGGGTGAAGTACACTCGGATATCGTGAAGTAGCTGTGAGGATGTACTTCTCGGTGACGTTTCGCGATGCATTGAGAGCTGCCAGCCGCGATGGTCTCAGCTCAATAGTAACCAGATCATCCTTTCATCCTATTTTATCGATGACGTTGGGTGTCTGTTTTAACATTGCCTTCACCTTTACGTAATCCTGTATATTAATTTAATTACCCTTTCGAAAAACTTATAACGAAGCACCTTGGAGCAGTTGCTATTTATGTGTGCGCCCGAATTTTCCATTTACTGAGAATTTGGCCATCTGCCTGTGGAAGTTCGCATTATGAATCTTTGAAAGCTTTGCTTATTTTATTTTGAACTTGCATGTGATTCAACACTTTATTAAATTTTAAAAAGTATTTGTCCATAGAAAAGATTTGTAAGTAGTGTTTATTTCTAGCAACTGCGAATAACACATAGATTCATTAGTGGCTTATAGGTGAACGTATTTATACAGATAAATGTGAATAATTGGAGTATTCATCGTAGTCTTTATAATAAAAATGTTCCTTTACGATCAAAGAATAGTAATGCTTAATCGAGCTATTTAGTCATTTTTGTAATAAATATATGTAACCATTTTATCATCTGTTAGTCAATAAAAACCCAGATTAAAATTTTATTTCAAAATTGTTTAATAGTATTATTAAAATTAATCGCATTCTATACAATAAATAGTTACTTTCAAGAACATAATCCATTTATCGGAAAACTTTTAAAATTATTATGCCTGCACATGAACTTACATTCCTTAAATAAAATAATAAAAAAATTTTAAAACTTTGAGATGTAAACCCAATCCTTCATTTTAATGTTGACTGTGTTATTTTGTATTTTTATTTTCAGCAACTACGTCATTCAACCCGAAACCCCGACCTTTCTCCCTCATCGCGTGAACAGGCAGCTCTCAACTACAATTCACGCGCAATTACTTTATTAATAGGACGTGTAGTTCATTATGAGCTGCTATACGTTATAGAACATATTTTGAAAAAACATTATCCAAAATATTAAAGTAAATATAGTATACAAGAATATATTATACAATAATATTGCGTTAATTTACTTATTCAATTAATAACTACTATACTTTTGGTGCTTGACAATATAATTTTCATAAACAATAAATGTATATGGGAATAAAAAAAAATTAAGGTGTTGTTTAGTTTCTTCACACAATAGCTTCACACAATAATAGCTTCTTCGCTTATTTTTTTCAAGTGTGATTTTTTGATTGCTTGTAGCTTGGGATTCCAGTTTTCGCAATTTTCAACCTGATAATTTAATAAATCATTTAATATTAAGTTTCTTTGAGTTTAACCTATTAGGCCTAAAATATTTTAATGATCCTGAATTTATATTCTGAATGTAAATTCGAAAATCACTGCCATTTCATTTTGAGAAGGAGTCTATTTTATATGATGTATATTCGACACAAATTTCGTTCTTTTTTTTTAATACACATAATATTATGTATCATTTATAGTGAATTTCAAAACACAAACACATGTAAATATTTCAAAACTATCCGATTTACAATTTGATCATCAATAGAGCAAGAATTAACGAAATAATTAAAATTAATTTTATAAATAAATTCAAGGATAAACAGTAATAATGAAAATCGACAAGATATACTAATTTATATTATTAATATTCATAGATTATACTTACATTAAAAAAATACTTTCTAATCATTTGGGTACTTACAAATGTAACGATATATTTCATATTTGATAAGTATTAATTTTAAATATTTAAACTTTATAATAACTTTTATTATTTATTTAAATAGAAACATTTAGTGTCGAATTTTTACTATTAATAATTTTCTTAAATTATCACAAATCTTTTTGTAAAATGAATATTAACAATCGTAAAAAATAATATATCAATTATAGATTATGAATGCTGAAGAGTGCATTGTACAAAACTATTGTGTTAAATAAATATGTTAAATAGACTTACTTTGGTTCAATAAACTTTTCATTGAAATATTATTAGTTTGTTTATTAATAATTTATTAGGAACATTTATTTGAAAATAATTCTGTCCACACAGTTCTACTCATATTTTCAGGAATCTGTTCACACTATTATATAAAATAACTTTTAAATTAAAAAATTCGTTTGATTATGATTATACATATTAAATGTTAATAATACTTGTATTTAGAATTTTTTAATTTATTCAAAGAAATTAAATATTTTTATTAAAAAAATTATTGATAAATTTTTTTATTTGATGCCTACATAAATACAAAACATTAAAACTGATCGCACACTATTTAATCATGTAATCTTAATTTAACGCTTATTTTATTATTGTTATTATTTAATCATTATTATCAACATCTTTATCAAATATATTACCGTTGATGTTATAATAATAATTATTATGATATTATTATTGTTGTTATTGTTGCCATTATTGTTGTTCTTGTTGTTGTTGTTCCTCTTATTATTATTATTATTATTATTATAGATAGAATATTTAAACTTATTAATTAAAATGCTTTAATGCATTATTTATTTGGCAAGAGCATAAACCTTATATACGATTGCTCGATAAATTTATAGACTAATAATTGTAATGTATAGATATATGTATACACAGTATATACATATATATAAACTTATGGGAACACATATATCATTTATTATATTAATTAAAAATTAAACAACTTTTGCAATTAAACCTTTGTCGTGCTTCTACTCAACTAAATTTTCTTTTTTTTCTTTCTAACTCAAACTAACTGTCTATTGCTTCTAATTCCTTGTGTGTCATTGCTTATCACTTATGTATACTAATTAAAATTACGAATCAATAAAATTTTTTAATATTTTAACGAAATTACATATTCGAATATACGAATCCTCGTCCTATATTTTCCAAAATGTTTCGCCGACAAGATAGAGAGCGCATCCTATTACGAAGACTGTTACGATTTAAGGCATAGCGAGGTTAAGCCTCAGTTCTATCACGAAGACTGTTGCTCTTACGAGGTACTGCAAGAAATTGGCCAGCCAAAAGTTTCCGAAAAACCACCTACACCAAGGAATAAATTTCCAACGTGGCCACCTATTAAACCCATTGAAGACATTACCTACCCCACTGCTAGCCCTCTTTATATTGATCCAAATCCAACAATTGATAAGCAAACCCGCCAGGTAACACGCGAACGTCGCGCCACAGTCGCTTCTGTTATTAGTCGCGAATATAACCGACGTAATAAATTTCGTGAACAACAACAGAATCATCGAAACGAGAACGAAATGGAACAATATAGCTGCGTAGGACCAGTTTTTCGACGAGTCGAATTAGGAAATTCAAAGGAATCACGCCAGTCCCGTTGTGACCGCTCATCCTCTCGAGCCAGTTCGACTGATAGCATACGAAGATCGTTGACGCCTACGAGGATCACTCAACCAATCCCACGTCCATGGACAGCGACTGTAACTTCTGGTACAAATTTATTTCAGTCATCTTATAAATCACAACAAGAACATATTTGTGGTAATTACTGCGGAAAGGAAGTATGCCAACGTGAAAAGGTCTGCCAGCGTGAACAATCATTAGAAAGAGAAATTAGTCAAACGATTTATAAACGAGAATCACCTTGTGAGCGACATCAGCCAACCCCACCTGAGCATCAACATCAGGAACAACATGTCCATAGTGAAAAAGAATCTTGCACAACTGAAGGCAATATTCACCAACGAGAGCATAAAACGTCGCAAGTATGTAGGTTTATATGCGAATCTAAAGTAGAACCGCAAAAACTAGAATATGAAGTTCAACGGAAACCATCCATAGATTTATCGAAACTAGTTCCATCGGATGTTGCCATTTGTCCAAAAGGAATAGATGGTGAACACGATCTGTACACTGAGACTGAAGAAGAAGATAAAGGTAACTTACACATTAAAAAAACTACAACATATGAAAAGATTGTTGAACTTGTAACACCGGATCAAGAAATAGGACTTTCATTCGGGAAACAGGAAGAGCAGTCTCAATTTGTAAGTGAGCAATTTATGCAAAGATCTTCTACGGTGGATCGAGAAGTAGAAGATATATCTGGTAGAAAGCATTTATCGGCATCTACTGAAACTTTAACTCAAAAAATAGATACTCAACAATTAATTGAAGAAACTCGTATGCGTGAAGATAAAGAACGAAAACTAAAGGCAGAGAAGGAACAAAGACAACGAGAAGAAGAAGAAAGAAAAAGGCAAGAAGAATGTTTATTAATTGAAATGAGAAAAAAGGATGAAGAAAAACAAATACAGCGATTAAAAATCGAAAGTCAAAGAAAAGCAGAAGAACATCGACGGCTAGATGAAGAAGCAGCTGAAAAATCTAGTGATCAAACTATCTACAGTACACAACGAAGTGAAATCATCGAAAAGAAATATCAATGCCCTAATGAACGAATTAATAATGTCCAGCTTAATGATCGTCCACCTTCTACAGAACGAGTTATTAAAATACAGATGGAAGATGATCAACAATCTAAAACACAAATAACAGTTGTAAAAGAAGAAATGAATATTAAAAAACATTGTGAACTTAAAGATTATAAACAACAACGTAGAAAAAGTCTTCGTGAACAGGTGGAAGTTCATCAGAGTCTTCGAGATCAACAGATACCAGAAAGACGTCAACCAACTCTTCAAGAACGTCGTTTGTGTTCACGATTTTCACAGCAGTCAGAAGAACAGCAACAAAAATCAACGGATAACTGGAATTCTAAAAAACACGTACAGTTTGTTAAAGTAAGAGAAACAGAAGTTTGTTCTGTGCCGCAAACCCCAGTTAAAAATTCTAATCCAAAAGAATGGCAATCGGACATGTGTAAATCTTTATCGACAACTTCAGATCATAGGTATTCACCATTACAATCTGATGGCAACATGTCTTTTCATGGTGAAACCAGGGAATTACATCATCATGAAGTAATATACAAACAAAATAGTATTTGTAGAAAATGCCAGCCGAAGCTTCCACCCATTCCAAATAGATCGGTTTCTCCATTTGTTGCAGCTTTAACCACTGCATCAGATCGTCCGTATTCGCCTTTAGGCAGAGATGTTAACGCAGAAAAGGCTATTTGTAGATGTCAATCGCAAACTCCAGAAATGAAAACAACTTACGAAGGTTATAGCGCACCTTCACAAATTCTTTACCGTGGAAAACCAAAAGAGCCACCAAAAAAATCTGAAGGACCGCGACCTCTTCCAACACCCCCACTAGACTTTCGTTTCCGTAATCGTTCTGCTTCACCTTGTTACTCTAGATCTCAAACACCTAGTGGCAGAGTTTCGTCTTGTGGATTGAAAAAACCTGATACTATTCCTCAATACCAAAAATGTCTAGTCTGCGAGGAACAATCACTAGTACAAGGTCATGATTATTCATCATCAAGTAGAACCCCTACACCAGGGTGTTGCAAATCTCCTATATCAGATCCACTAGAAACTCCAACATACTTTATAAGAGCTCCGAGAATCCGAGATGATCCACCACCTTGCAAACGAAGTAATCAAAGAGATATAACGACACCTAATAAAACAGAAACTGTTCAGTATCATTATGAAGAAGATACTCCTAAAATTCATAAAAATCAAAATACTATTTGCTCTAAAACTGTTTCGTGGCTCGGAGAAGGTATACATAAACATGCTCACATTCAAGAGCACAATGATACTGTTACCGAAGAATGTGACGGAAGTCATCATATAACAAAAATGGAACACAAACTTAAGGAGTACGATGAATCAGAGCAGCCTTCAATATCACCAGTAGAAAATGATAATTGCTATATTTCTCAAAATTCTGATAACCAACCAACTTTACAATGCCCTAAAATACAAAATAGCATTTTAGACAAGATTCAAAAAACAGGAATACGTGTATTCGCCCCAATGGGTGCACCTGAGGTGAGACGAATTCGTCACGATATTCCACCTCTGTTACCCAAGCTTCCTTGCCCAATGACTGGTGTAACCGTTTTGCCAATCAAAGCTCATGGCGATACAACCTGTAAATCAGGTGTAGTTATAGTTCCATGTGACGGTATTGGAATGAGCGGTGTGTGCATTACGCCTACACCCGATCGCTTGGATGTTTCTGTATCTCCATGTCTGGCGCAAGCTGGTGGAATTTGTAAAAAACCCTCTTGTTACTGCGGATCGACTTCAGGAAATTGCACAACTAGCTTAGGTAATGACAAAACCACCCATAGCGTTGATGCCAGCATCTGTACTGGAATAGCTGGAGTTCGATCTGTCCAGTATCCTAAGCCAATCTTAAAGTGTCTCAGTGCTGAAAAAGCGAAACTCCCATTTCCTCAGATACCTCATCCAGAAGAGCAATCCAACCAGTATTCCAACCAAGGCTGTCCACGCAGCGCAACTAATGCGAGCTCGACCTCGACGAGCTTCAGTTCTAATTCGGAGAGTCGTGATTGCGGATTCCAACCAATACACAAGCCACAGCCACGCACTAACCTTTGCAATCAAATAACCACTCTAACGCTTTGTAAACGCGAAAGCCAAGCTGTTGTTACACCTACACCACAAGTGCCAAGGGTAAAACTTTATAAGCCGCAAAGTCAATCAGCTCAGCTTCCGTCTTGCAGAAGCAATACCACAAAAATCAAATGCCAGAGTATTTATAATCAAAATAGGTTCCGACGCGAAACCCAAACTATATGTGAAACTCAGAGTCGAACCCAATCCCAAATCCAGACCCAAACCAGTTGCCTGGCAAATAAGATCCAGAATTCAGTAGACCCACCAAATTTGTCATCCCACCCGGATCTAGGTAGCGGTGCAAGCGGCTTTGGTGGTAACAAGGGAGGAACCTTTGCGGGTAGCAGTGCACCCAATCGTGGTAAAGGCATTCTGAATCAGGCGGGATCCGGATTGCGAGTCCCTCTCTGTGCAGCCTGCGATTCCCACGTCAGGTATTAAAACAAGCTTGGGGATACCGCTGATAATGTGATTTTTTTTTTTAAGGAAGTTTTCGAGTGTATTCACAGCAGATGTTAATTGCTTTGCTGTATCATTTTTTTCAGATTGCTGCATCATCCGTAACCCTATTATTCTCGCATGATTTATTTTAATAATGAAAATTTGTTTATGAATTTATTTTGTTTGAAATTAATATGCAAATTCTGTATTTATTTAATATTTTTGGTAAAAAAATTCAGAATAATATTATTTTCATTGATTACGTATTTTTTCGCGTTACTAAATGACTGGAAGCAAATACTTTAGTAAATTTTCCAATTTCTCTGAATATCCTTCTGAATCAGTTACTTTTACTAATGAACAATTATTTAATGTTAACATTTTACTGCATTAAGAAAAATAACTCTTTCTTCGCGATATAATTTAAATTTTAATGTTTTAAAACTTAATTTTTTTGGCAAATAATTTAATTTATTGCATGTCTTTGTGCAGTTAATGAAGAAAATACTAACAACCGTCTAAACGGTCTTAATGTAAAACCAGTTTGTTGTCGCTGTAATATCGAAATTACAAGGTTTGTTATTTTTAAACATTTTTATCAAGTTTTCGCCTTTAGTATCAAAATTTGACAAAAATTTGAACATGAAATTTTATTTATTTTTTGTATTTACTAATTAATAGCATATATTCGTTTATCTCAAATATCATTATTTTATATTTAATGATAAATTTATATTTTTCATTATTTTTTTTAATATTATTTTTTAATATTAATTACATAATTAAATCTTTTAATCAAATCTAATATTTAATAGCTGACTTTAAATTTAAAACACTTCATTAATGTTTTCATTAGGGGTCCATTTATTTCTGCATTGGGGCAGATCTGGTGCCCAGAGCATTTCGTCTGCGAAAATCTACAATGCCGTCGTGGCTTGCAAGATATTGGTTTTGTCGAGGAAAAAGGACAACTCTACTGCGAATATTGTTTTGAACGATTCATTGCACCATCATGTAACAAATGCAATAACAAAATTAAAGGAGTGCGTACTTATAAAATAATTTCTGTATAAAACTGTAGATAATGTAGAAACATAGAATAGAAAAATATAAATATAACATGTTACGTAGAAAAATTTAAAAACTTAATATTTATGCTGTTTTAGGATTGTTTGAATGCTATCGGAAAACATTTCCATCCTGAATGTTTCAATTGTGCCCATTGTGGAAAACACTTTGGTAACAGTCCTTTCTTCCTCGAAGAAGGACTTCCATATTGCGAAAGAGGTTCATAGTTCTATCATTGTTAAAATGTTAATGAATTCATTTAAAAATATGACAAATGTCATAATTAAATAGATAAATTAGGATTAAACAATTTGAAATATGAGTAGTAAAAATACTAATATTATCGTCCTTACTTTATAAACAGAAAATATTAAACATTTATTTCATTAATTTCATTTAAAATGCAATTTAATAATTGAGCTATTCATCGTGTCAACCATCAGTGAGCATTACATTACAATTTTTCAAAATCATTTGATTTAAATTATAAATTCATTCATTTAAAATTTAATTGAAATTCTTTATTATATCATACTCGCAACTAGCCGATGAATTCATTTCTTTAATATAAATATTTACTCGACAGATTGGAATGACCTATTTACGACAAAATGCTTCGCTTGCGGGTTCCCAGTAGAAGCTGGTGACCGTTGGGTAGAAGCTCTGAATAATAACTACCACAGTCAATGTTTCAACTGTACAGTAAGTTATGCTAGTTTTTAATATATATATATATATAGCGATTTTATAAAAGTTTTGCTTATTAATTAATACAAATAAAAAGTTTAAGATAAATTGAAACATAATGTAATATATATAGATTTTGATGGAATAATTTATTTTACAATTCTGCTTCAATTAATGCATTAATACTTTTCAATAAAGATTACTTAAAAGAATATGTAAGATATATTTTCATGTATTTAATTATAAAAACTGAAATTAATAAATAAATAAAAACTAAAACTAATATATTTCTTTATAGATGTGTAAACAAAATCTTGAAGGACAGAGCTTTTATGCAAAGGGCGGCCGTCCTTTCTGTAAAAATCATGCACGCTAGGCAAGAATAAATTAATGAATCTGCAAAAGTTATCAAAAAATAAGTTGTGAACCACAAAACGAAAAAAATATAATTTACGAAGAAAAATAATTAATTATCCACAATTTTACTTATAGGGTACACCTAAAAGAATCATTGTAAACTCGAATGACGACAGCTGTGAAATCGTCATAATTAAGATCGACGCAATCAAAATTTGTTCAACTATCATCATACAATCGCTCTCCTTGTCTTTAAGCAAATAATAGAGATACTTTGGAGATACGTATAACAGATGATTTCTACGGAATTTTTCTAACCCGTAATCAACAGCAAAGAAAAATATAAATGTAAAAAATACAAATATGTAATATATATATTTTGTTCAATTTGTGTGTATATATATAAGTGCACACATACGCATATATAAAAAAGTATTAGTACAATTTTCGCTATTTATTTCCGTGTAAATTAATTCTCAGCACATTGCCTCGTCACTTTATATATAAAATTTTCTTATCGTCATTGTACAAGTACATTGTAGTCAAGTAAAACAGCAAAGCACAAAGGTGATTTTAGAGTTCAGTTGAGATTTTGTAATCACGCAAAGTTCACTCAGCAATTGATTTTATTTTCGCGTGTGCTTTCGAAATTATTTAAAAACACCAACTCCGTCCTTCTGTCGAGATAATCTGCTATGTAATGGTTATAAATTTCAGAAAAATGTATTTCGAACTTTACAATTATGTGATAAATCAATCAATAGAAGAAAATATGTTTTTTAGCGGTTGCTAAAGAATGAAAGAGTTTAATTTATTAAAAAAAGACGTAAAATGATAATGTGCTTAAATTTTCAATCGGATAAATTGAGCTTATAACAATTGCTATTTTGCTTAAGCTATAAATATTTTCGCTTGTTCCTTGTTTTTTCAAAAACGATAAAATTATCAGATGCGATATTAATATTTATTATTCAAATAATAAACTTATTACGTCCAGCAATATAACATATTGACATTAATAAAATAATTAAATCAACCACGCAGTGTCATATTTATTTAATATGGTTCATTAACCATATTTACTCGTGCCATGTAATTATACGAGCAAAGATAGATCAAAGTACAGTCAAAGAGTCAAATTAAGTTATTGTTCTTGTCTATTCATTATTGATATTAATGATCGATAAGAAGCAAGCGACTATCGAGTATTGTAAACCATTTTAATTATGTAGATGAATAAATTTGACGAATGATAAAGTAATTGCTTTAACTTCAATACAAATAATTAAGTGAAAACAATACCTATTAATAAATACCTGAATGAATGTGATGAATAATTTGTCATTTAACCTTTTTTACATCCGTAAAAAAGGAAATCTTGCAAAAACAGGTTTTTTGCTGATGTGTACACTTATAACTATACTTATGTGTATAGTTATAAGCAATAAGTAATAAAAAAAATTACAAAAAAATATATATTATAAGAAAATACAATGGTTTCATACTTTAAATTTTAATTACGCTTTTAATTACACTCAATTTGTTGCTGGAAAATTTATAATATATGTAATTATTTTGTAAGGCCAAAAATAAAACCTATGTGCCCGTGTTATGTGTTAATTAAAATAAAATTGATTATGATAAATAATAATATTTGTTTAAAAAATATTTATTAAAAAATAATATTTGTTTTAAGTTTTCTTCTTTCAACATGGCAGATATTTTACAAACAATATAAATAAAAAAACATTTTTCAGTTCAATTTAGATTAGGATTTATGTCACAAATAGTAACTACTTGTTTGTTAGTGTGCGTGCAAAAAAGTTATTGATGACTATTTAAAAACTGCCATAGAAACCTGGTTATTTAGCGTGTCCTTAAAGAAAAGAATGACAAATTAATGTTAATATCTATATAGTTATTGCCAGTAAGTATTATTGAAAACCTTCTGATATAAATATTGGTATAAGAGTTTTAATTGAAACCAATTAAACAATACTTTATTGCGAATTTACACACTGTTATTAATAAAACCTTTATTTAAAACAGTAACATTTCTAGATTTACATTTTCCTAAAAACATAAAATTTTTAAATATGTGTTTTTAAATATTTGAGGATTCAATTTCAATCCAGTTACCTCTTATATCTATACCTATCTGTTCGGGATTGATGCAGTTCCATGAATTAAAAAAAAAGGGTCATACGCGCTATACGGCGTACAGCATGCGCGCCTATACTGGCACGCACGTGCAGATCGGGATTACAAACAAAACTCGGCAAGTCCGAGCAAGTTTTACGACCTGAAATATAATATACTATAAGATCACCCAAGGGTATTGTGACTACTTTCCTCTCGTCGAACTTTCTCGAAGGTTCTAGAATTTTCCTTCCACGCTTCGTGTAAGAATTAGTGAAACAACGACGATGCTTTGTTGCCAGCTAAGTGAGCCGCCGCGTGGCAATATAAGAGACGCACGCGGCGCGCCTCGCCCTCTCGCTAATCATCTCTTGCCGAACCACCCTCGCTCAACTGCGCTTGCAGCTAACATCTTGCCGTGACCCGACAGCAGTGACACCGACCATAGTGAACCGATCTAACCATCTACCAGTAGAAGCCATAGCACAGGGGTCTCGATCTACCCTCAGCAGGACCGCCATGGAACGGTCGGTATTTTCAGCAGAGCCGCCACGGAACGATCTTAGAAGTTGGTAGAAGTCTTAGAAGATGGTAGAAATCTTACTATTAATCACTCTTACCTGTGACTAGCTCTTCTACTGTCCCCATAAATAATTAATGACACAACTGATTACTTAATAAATTCCATTAAAAATCTTACCCCATATCAAGTATAGTTATTTATACATCAAGCATACTTGATTCATTACCATCTTCTCATGCTACCTCACAAGCATGATTAATTGACTACACCAGCTGATATTTATAACATCAGCATTACTTTAACTTCAAGATACTCAGTCATAAACAAAGAACACACCCTCATTACTTCAATAGAATTATCTCTCTCTACACAACAGTGCAATATTATTATAATCATTTACAAATAATAAACATTGTTTTACTAAATACATAATATTTTTGAATCTTGTCAATTATTATTTCCTTTGAAGTTATTCTGCCGAGAGACTAATCCACTGAACTATTGAATTGGTAGTTCGAGCCATAAACTAAACCTTTAAAATCGAACACTATCGTTTATACTTGTAAATGATATATTTATTTTAATACAAAGACAAATCTTAAGTCAAATTTTTAAAATAAAAATTGTTTAAAATATATCATTCTAAATTCTCCTATTTATCATATTCAAGTTTTAAAAAGCTGGGTAACCCACGTTCGACATTCACAAAGGTTCAAAAACCTCATTGTGCATTTATTTTCATTTTTATTTATTCATCATTTTTCATTTTTCGAAAATTATTTGTTATTCATACTGCATTTAAATTATAGATGTTATGAATAAATAATGTTACATTTTTACTTTGTAGATTACATTATCGATTTTTATAAAAAATACTTTATCCTCTAACAAATAGCAAATAATTTTGCAATCATATGTTGTTTAATATTAATAATACTTAACAGACACTTTGCCAGAATTCTAAAAACGTGTACAGGTCTATTTTATCTCTAAAATACTTCGCTGTTCCATAATTAAAAACTATTAAATCAATACAATATTATGTTGAAAAAATGTTTGAAAACTGCTCGATGCTAAAATATAAGCTTGGGGATAAATTAATTAAATAATAATTGGCTGTAATAATCAGTCAAGTGTTAGAGCAATGAATTAATATAATTTGAAACGAAAGAATTTTGTTTGTTGTCATTTGCAACTTGTGCTAAATGAATTGCTATCGTAATAATAATAATCATTGAAATAAACGAACAGGTAAATTAATATTACTGGCTGTTGAATAATAACAGGACAAATGCCAGACAGGCCATTCCTCTATTAGCCTTAAGTCCTTAAGGTATGCGGATGATATCGAAAATTGTCGGCGGCATCCCCTTTCGTTAAATCTTATTAGAGAGGCATTTGCACAAATGGCATGTGACTTATGGAGGCGCAGGCGCCGCAGACCATCCAGGGGTGGTCGAATTACGAACTTCGTGTACTCGAAACAGTGAGCATCGGAGCTCCAACCCGTCTGCAACTGTAGTTCCGGTTAAAGCGGCCGAGGCCGTAACGGCCCACGGAGGATCCGGTCGATCCTCGGGCTGTTCACGCGTATCGACCCGATCGGAGCACCGTCCCGTCGTCGCTGGAGTTCCTATTGCACCAATATTTTTAGCAAACATAGTTGCGATTGAACGGTGAAGGAGGAGGCAAAATGAACGTAAACTAGCATTTGATTCTCGTGATATATTTCATGCAATCCTTCGAGCACGTGCTTACGATTATTAAAGCATGTCGGCCGAATTAATACGAGGTTCGAGAGATTCTATATCATAAGAGCAGTTTCGATACCTTAATTTCTCATTTATTGTCATTTGAATTTGAATCCTTTGTTGTTTCATAGACACATTGCAGTACTTATCGAGCATACTATTCTCAACTTATATTCAATGTGTGTGTATATATATATAGTATCCACTATATATGCATATTTATAAACAAATATACTTTGTTGAAACTAATCCCGTGCATAAATATTATAAAATAAAAAGCTTTAAAACTAATAAGCTTATTTCATAAGACTATTCGCTTTTTAAACCAATAATAAATATCATGCAACAGAATTCTAATTCCAAAATTATGTACGATTACAATACGTGTTATTCTACACTACAAACAAACACCATTATAAATACGTATAAATGCTTTCTAAGCGAACATTAAAAAAATAATATAGATTTTCTTTGAGTTAATAATAGTTCAAAATTAAATAAAATGATTTAGTTTGATGTAGCAACTGCATAATGACGTTTCATGTAATATAGAATAAGCCAAAAAATGAAAACGACAATTATAAATAAAGTAATTAATATATTTTAAATAGTTTTATTCAATACGTAAACTTGAAAGAAAGTGACTTTTATTCATAATATGGATATACAATTAATTATTTTTTAAAGCTTAGAATTGAAATAATCAACAAATTATTGTACAACATTTAAAATTATTTGGTGAGTTAGAATTTAAAAAGATTAAAGTCAAACTTAAAAATTAACAAGAATTAAATAATGAAAAAATACATATTATTAATTATTGTACTTGATTGTATAAACATCTAACAACAATAACTGATTAGCTATTCATGCTATTAAAAGTGCAAAATAACAACCTCAAAATCGTAAAATATAGAAATATATTATTTTATTTACTAATTTTAATTTTAATTTAACGCTTTAAAGAGTTTAAGTAGTGCCTTCCTGTAGATTTACAATTAATTTAGCAATTATTTGTTAAAATACAGAAATAAGATATTATATTTATTGATGTATTTTATATAATAAATTTCAAAACCTTCGATTTACAAATTACGTAAAAAATGTGACCAACTTCTACATTATATTTTTAATATATCGATTATTTTGAAGCACCTCTTTTTAATAAAAATAGTCTTTATTTTAGAGAATCAAGCATCATTTTCATTTCTCTATTACATTCCTATCTTTTTACAAATAATTGAAATATTCATAAATATAAACACTTATATACAATCTTTTCTTCAATTTAAATTTAATATTTTATTCTATTTATTTTACCATACATATTTTATAATAAACAATAAAACTTATTGTATATTTAGAATTCTTTGACTCTAAATTAAAAATTATATTACGTATTGTTTGAGTTCTAAGTTTAAATCGTTATTTTGAACTTTACCTTGTTGTTTACTTTAAAGTAAACATGACTCACATACTCGAACTTTAATTTCATTAAATGCACTAGTAATTTTTATTATAATTATTCAATATATATGCGATTAATATTTTTACGACTATAACAAAGCTCATACCATATTGATTATAACATAATTTGATAAAACCCTTATTTTTAAATTAAAAATGGACACTAAGCTTGCACATATTTTACTAAATTAATTTTTTGTTAAACCTATTAAATATTATTGTAAACGATACTACTCAAGGGAATCCCCTTCACCAGAAATAGATTAAATGTTTTCGTATGTGATTAAAACAGTTCAACATATATGATCCAAAATACCCGGATGCATTCGGAATGAATTTAATGAGCAATTGTGCGTAATAATATCTTCGGGATGTCAGCTAGGTCGACGGTGTCAAACCAGTGCAAATAGAAAAGTCACTACTCTCGAGGTACATAAAGTTTCTGGCGTGCTTCATACGACAGATTTTCATGTCCTTGCCTGACACTCGTTTACAAATCAAGTCTTTGCACCAGCGTATTACCACCAGCGTATAACAACGACAAACTAGTGCCTTGATGATAAAGTGAAGGAGTGGTTCACCGTTGCATGTAAGGTGCCCTTTATGTCGATGTATAACTGATAATCGATCATCAGCCCCAACAGTAGTTGTCTAGTCTCGAGGCCTATTCCAGTTGTCGACGAGGAAAAACATAAAGGAGAAGCAAAAGAAGGAAGAAGAGAATGAGGAAAAGAATGGCGGCTACGACAACCCTGGACGGGCCTTTCATCTTTCGAATCAATGACAACGGCACCGGTCCTCATTTACTTGTGCAGGTGATGTACTCGGTTACTTGACGCTTTGTCGCATTGTGTCATACATGATCTAATCAATATTGCGAATGCTAATTTTTTTCATTTCCCTCAATCATTCAAATTATTGCTTCCTAAGTTTCAACGTTAAATGAATATAGTAGCAGATGGATAAGAATGCTAGAGGTAGACAATATACCAGAAAATAATTTCAAAATATTTATACTTCTTATTATTAAACAACAAATATGATCAAAAGAAATTTTATTCATTAAAAGCTTCACAAATACAATTAATTAATAGAATTATATGAATAAACACGTATTATGACAATCTCATGAATGAAGGTTCACAAAATTATATAAAATAACTAATTTAAGCATTTTGCAAATTCTTCTCTTAATATAAAAAAAACTTCTTTTTATTTCCTCTCCAATTCCGTCGTATTTATACTTTTCAATTATCAAGATCAAATTCATTTCTATTCGATTTTATTATTCATCCTTCAATATTGAAAATATATAGCATTAGTTTTCCATGAAATTAATTTGATTTTGCAATATCAATAGAATACTTCCCATAGAATTTATGTGAAAATAATTCAAAAATAACACAATGTGCTGTATTTGCAGAAGATTATTTTGTAATAATAAAATAATAAAAAGATAATAATGCTTACATTTGTAAGCATAATAATAATATTAATAATAATTAATATTATTAATATTTTGTCTTAAAATAATTTTTAAACTACAATTTGAATATTACAAATAAATAAAAGATTAAAGGCTTCATATGTTTTAATGTTAATAAAAAAAAATAATTTCTTTAAAAAATTATTGTAATGTTTATATATTGAAATAAGAAATATCTACTTAACTATTTAAAATACTTAAAACGACTACTTAGTTCTACCATCATTAATTCATTTAATTTTATTTAATATATATACAAAGTAATTACATTGAAAAAAATACATTTTTACATCATAAATGAAATTATCATTTTTAAATGAAAAATATTAATTTTTTATCTACAACTCAAAATTAAAAAACTTTTACAGTTAATTTTTTTAATATGAGAAATATGTTTAAATATATTAAAACATTGCAAAATTATTTTATAAGTTTGAAAATATTTATTCAGTACAAAAATTATATTATTTTCTATAAATGAAGTACTATTTAATAAAATTTTATTATTAAATTTTTACTTTTTTTTTACTTTTTTATAATATAGTTATTTTATATTTTTAATCTACAAATTTATTTTTTATCTTGAACCTATTTTGAATAATATAAAGATGTTAAACATTATACAAAAAAATTAAAAAGTAGTTATAGAATAAATTTAATAGCTGTTGAAAAAGAGAAAAAATAATCGGAAAGCATGGAATATAATAAAAAATATTAAGTTATATTTTATATGCATGTATTTTCCAATATAAAATATACAAACCAAAGAACACCTTCATTCCTTCGTTCTACCCAATTTAATATAACTAAATTAACACCGAATCTGTAATCAAATATTCAATAACATAATTGATTATTCCTATATTATTTTGCCTTCGTAAAGTAATTTTAACTGATAATATCCGGAATTTCTTATTAATAATTTTAAATTTCTTAATATTTTCTATAATTATTTTGTTATATCATTAATAAAATATTTTAATATAAAATACTGTAATAAAAATGATAGCCATATTCTGTTTCATTTATGTATTTAATTATCCATTTCATAAAAAACGAATAAATGCAACAAATTTATTAAACTTATATAAACTTATAAAAAAGATTATATTTTTAGTTTATTTTATTTATTATATTCATAATAGAATTAATAAATCGAATATTGCATACTTATTAATGATTTTTAAACACTTCGCTCTATTTATAATTATTATGTTATAAAGTTAAAAAGTTTTAATACATTCTGTTAGTTATTCATATCTTCATACTTCTTTAAAAATTGCTTTATATTGGTCACGAATATGAAAGAAGAGTACTTGAGGCTAAGCATCTGTGCTACAATTTAATTTCAATTATTGTTATTCTTTGAATCTAAATATAGCTTATTCGTCTAAAATTTTGCATTTTTATTTTTAATTCAAGAGACGTATTTATTACAATTTGTTAAGTAATAGCATGAACCTGAAAATATTTATTATATCAATATATTTCATTAATATTTGTTCTTTTATTTATAGAAAAATGATGTCTTTCATATTGAAATTAAATAGATTATAATGTAGTTGAATAATGAAAATATTATATATCGTAATTTTGTTTATATTTGCTCACAAAAATTACCACTTAATATTTAAAAATGATTTGCTTTTACACAATTATCATTCTATTATAATATCGATAATTTTTATGATAGATACTGCTTTGAATTAATTTTAACTTACTTATTTCTAAGATAATTCAATAAGAAGATTTTATTAAATTGTTATATATACCTATTATTTTGCCGTATTGTGAACATAAACGTATTTAGTTTTAGTGACATTATTATATATGTTATAAAACATTAATCCAGGACAAAAATAAGAAATAATTTTATTATGTCAATTGAAAATATTTGATAATAAAATCAATAATAAGTGTACGTGATAATTACCTTGTAGTTGAAAATGTTATATATTTTCTGATTTCACCTTATACAAACACAATGTTTATATAAACTATAAAAGAGAATTTGTATATAAAAAGTATTACTTTTTATAAGTTCGGTCGTACTAACAAAATACCGACAGAAAATTTTATTTTCAAATGATAAGATTTAAATATAACTCAAAATGGTATGGTTTTCACAAAAACATCGATTGTGCATTGTGCGAACTCACACATATGACGTGGTACGAAATTCACATGATAAGATGGTTTCATGGGAACGCAATAGTTGTAAAAAAGTTCTATCGTAACTTTTACTTGCGTGCACCTGGTAGATTCATTCTCCAATATCAGTAGGTCACGTAAAGAAAAAGGTATATTAGACATAGCGGTGCACACAAAGTTGGACTTAAAATGTAGTCCTGATTTATCGTCCTATTACTAAAGCTATTATTGTACGGGATGCCAATGAACAGAGAAAGAGAGAAAAGAGGGCAAGTCGAAGCTCGCAAAGCGTATTCAATTACAATTAAATCGTGAACATTTTATCCTATTACAGCATAATACTTCACATATGTGAACCGTAATTTTATTTTATGAGCTGATTAATAAGCTAAAACTACGTTCGCTCAAGTGATTTATTTTGTCGGATTTGTGCATTTTTAATCTGCGTGTAAGAGCATGTATAGATGCGTAATTCACGGATATCGATGGAAATCGAACCTATATTTAATTTTTCGGCAAATTCTTTTTGAGCTAATTTTCGCAACTTGTATGCTTTGAGTAGAAAGCCTATCCCTTGATTAAAGAACATTTGAAGAGAATGAGAGAAAGAAAATCTACGTGATATAGAAATGATCTAGAAAAGATCTAGAATGATCTATAAAATCTCTATATAGCAACGTTTCCTTTTAACTGTTTCAAAACATTTAACTTAAAATTATTTCGTCGTCTAACAGTCGTACCTTTCTTTTAACTTTATCCGTCAATTTCATAAATATCAAATTAATCAAACCAATAACAAATAAAGCTTTGTATTTTTATTTATATTTTTTTATTTCGTTAGAAGAAAAAATGGAAAATATTACCACCAAAACGTATAAGTATTTGTTATAGTAAATAGTTGTTGATATTTCGAAAAAATAGAGAAATTAGTTCTTAATAATTTATCTTTTATATTAGAATTGTTCTAAACGACTATTATATATTTTAATTTTCAAAAAATAATAAAATTAATTAATAAAATAACTAATAAAAAAAGTTCTAAGTATATTTTAATAAAAATTAAATGATTCATCTGTATCAACATTAAATAAAAATTACAATTTTTCTGTTGGTAATAATATTTAGGAAAACATATATTTAGAAAAAAAAAATATTTAATCAATAGTGTTTGATGTATTCAATTAATATGAACTGTCTTTGCTTATAATATTAAATATCAAACAATCTTCTATTAATTAACTTATAGGTTTGCATAGAAAGAGGTTGGCGAGAATATTCGGGCCATAATAGCCTTTTTAAAGATTGTTGGAATTTATGGTGGAAGTCAGGTGGATTATCTCAAGCCCACTACAAATCCTTACTTCCATGGCAGGTATATTTTTATTCAATTATAAAAGTACATTTTTTTATTTGATTCAAATATAAACAAATATTATATTTTATAGTTTATAAATCGTATACCAAAAGGAAATTCTATATGCAGAAAAGATAATCTTGTAAGACATTTGAAATGCATGAAGAAAGTTTATGGTTATATTTATAACTTTAGGTACTATATTTTATTATTATTTTATTAAATAATGCCTCTAATAAAAATTATCATTTATAATCAAGCTTTCATTTTAAAACTTATATATTTCATTTATAATAAGTCCATTAGGGTATATTCTTCCGTCAGAATATACAAAATTAGCAGCGGATTGCAATCGTTTAGAAAAGGATGAGAAAATATGGATCTGCAAACCTGTTGGCCAGAGCCAAGGAAAGGGAATATTTCTTTTTCGCGTAAATAAATAATTTCTTAATAAATTAATTTACCTTCAATTACTAACAAAAATTTATATTTATTACATTTATTCCTCAATTTTGTACTAGCTATTATTGTCATACATGTCATAATTTTATTTAATTTCTATTTATGTAATAACAGTAAGCTTTTTAAAGATAATTATTACATATAGTTATGTATATTGAATTACGGATGCAGTAAAAAAAAAACAAACATAATTCCTATTCAGATTTCTTTGTTTTAGAAATTAAGCGACCTGAGATATGATAACGTTACAGTCGTTCAACAGTACATTGAAAATCCTTTATTAATTGGCGGTTACAAATTCGATCTCAGACTGTATGTGTGTGTACCATCTTACCAACCACTAACGATTTATCTATATAAGCATGGCATAGTTCGTTTCGCAACGGAAAAATTTTCTTTGGAAAGTATCGAAGATTCTTTTCGACATTTAACAAACTTTTCCCTTAACAAATTGGGCCCTGGTTACTACAAAAAAAAAGAAAGAGTAGGAGCTGGTAATCGATTTTTTTTTTACTTAGTTTTCTTATACATTCAAAATCATAATAATTAAAATATAGATATAATATATTATATGTATGTTGCCAATCATTAGATCCATATTTACAATTCACTTTTACAAATTCATTTGTCATTTTAATAAAATATTTGTTTAATAACTAGTTCTATATTAAAATTAACAAATAACAATATTAAAAGTTCCTTTGTACTATTCAACTTAAACTTTATTAATAAAAATTGAAGGATCAATTACAAATATGAATCATTCTACTTACTTTCTGATCTTCGAAAAATCAAATATAAACTTATTTTTCATTAAATTGATTAATATCACAACGAATTCCATTTGTCTTAATATAACGCCAATACTAAAATAGTTTCTTAAAATATATATCTAATATCTTAAAATATATATCAGGACCACTCTTATTTAAAAAACTATTAGAAAAATTTTTTATAAAATAGGTTGCAAGTGGACCTTTCGACAATTGAGAAGATATTTAGAACAATCCGGTCATTTGGATTGGTTTTTATGGCAGCAAATAGCTTGTATCGTCACTTTAACTATTCTTAGTCAAGCAGCAAGAATTCCAAAATCATCAAATTGCTTTGAATTTTTCGGTTTTGACATATTAATTGATGATAATTTAAAGCCATGGTTATTAGAAGTATGTTAATTCATAATTTATTTATAAATTCAGTGTTTACATCTTTAAAACTCTAAGATTTGTAATATATTTGTATAGGTAAACGTTAGTCCAGCATTAAATAATGACTGTGAAGTAGATTCAGAAGTGAAAAAGCCTTTACTGCACGATTTATTTGATTTGTTGGGTCTCCCAGTCTGCAATACTGGACTATCACTTTTTACTATTTGGACTTCTAAACATCTGGAAGAAGATGTTGCAAATAGATTTTATAGTAAATCTTCAAAAAAAGGCTATAAATTTGGACGAGAACCCATAAAAATAATGAATTTTGGTTCGGAAACTAAATCTATGGTAAATAATAACTTAAAAATTTTTCTTAATAATTATTTTAATTTAATTTATTTCAATGAAGTTATCTATTCAGTTTATTAGTGTAAAAATTGTTACAAACAAATATATCAAATTAAATATTTATTCAACTTTTTTTATTTATTTAATAGTTTCAGCATCAAACGACAGATATATATAACGAAACATCAGAATTTAATCCACTGTGCATGGAAAAAAATCTTCAGAAAAGGCTTAAAAACCAACATATTTTGTGTGCAACGCGAAATAATAGTCGAGATTGGAGAAAACCAATTAAAAAAGAAGGTGCCTGGATTCGAATATATCCAATGTTACAAGAAACTTTAAAATTCGTAGAGTTCGGATCCGAATTCGTTAAAGCTCCTAAATATGTTGAAAAAGAAATTAAAAATGATGTCCTGTGTGTTCAAAAGTAAAAATTTTCAAATTTAGTATTAAGTATTTACTCACTTTTTTATTAATGTTAAATAAGAATTAATTATAGATTTTTAAAAACTGCGAAAGAAGTTCATCGAAAATTTGGAAAACAAGGAGATGAAAAATGTAACAAGATGTTACAAAGAACTATTAAACTTGAAACAGAAATTTGGCTCCCGAATAAATAATTTAAATATTAAAATGCAATTACATTCATTTACAATTAACAAATGATTAATAAAGTATTCAAACTATACTAATATAAATATTTCTGTAATAGTAAAGGATTGGATTAAACAAAATTAAAACAACTGTTTTATCAAGAAAATTTAGTTTAATAGATTTTTATTGAAAATTTAAGTTAGTTGGCTCCCTTAGCTGCTAACCTCTTATCGCGTTCTTCAGCAATTGTAAGTTTTATTCCATTACCTCTGGGTAAGCTAACATATGGTTTTGTTCCTTTGCCAATAATGAACACATTGTGTAATCTGAAAAATAATTAATTTTTATAAATTAGTTTTGTTTTTGTACTTATATATTTAATTAATTCAACTAATATATAATAACAATATTAAACAAAATACTAATGTTGGTTGTTTTAACTCAATCTAAATAAATCATATTCAATTATTGAAAGAATAACAAGTAAAAATTCTAAAAATAATTTTCAATCTATATTTTATTCCTTTTTATATCAAGTAATTGATTATAATAAGATAATTTCTTGATTAATGTGGAAGAAACATATATTTAGTGAAACAAAGACTATTTTAAACAATTTATTTTAATTTTAATTTTTGTATGCATAAAAATTTGAACTGTCTAAGTTAAAAAATTGTGGTATATATAAGACTTTCATGTAATAAATTTACCTAGTAGCAAAAGTATGTCCTTGGGAATCTCTGACGTGACAAATATCAAATGATCCTTGATGACGTTCACGATTTACTACAGCACCAACACGACCCAAATTTCTTCCACCAGTAATCATACACAAATTTCCTAGACAAAATGTATTATTCATTACTTTATAAATTTCTTTATCAACAGGATAAATCTATTATGCTTTAATACCTTTTTTTTTATATAACTAAATATAAATAAAAGTATGTACTTGATTCATTTTAAATAAAATTATTAAAATTTTTATAAATGAAATTTTTACTTTTATCCCATTATAAATATCTTACACATATTATTTTTATCGAGAAAATTTAAAATACACAATTTTTACTTAATATTTTTAATTGTGAAAATAGTTTTAGGTAGAAATAAATACATACCTGTATCAAAGCGAATAGAATCAAGAATTTTTCCAGTTGCAATATCCAACTGAATAGTATCATTCACCTTAATCAGAGGATCAGGATAACGAATGGTTCTACCATCATGTGTAACCAGAAAAGGGATTCCTTTAGGCCCAGTTTGAACACGTCTAACTTTACAAAGCTTGTACTAAAAAAAATTAATAAAATTACCAAGTTCTTTCAATAAATAACTATGTAAAACATAATAAAGATGGTTTTACTTTTGCTTCAACTGGAGTTATGCGATGAATAGTAAAACGACCTTTAACATCATAGATTAAACGAAAATATTCGTTGGTTTTCTCAATGGTGACGACATCTTAAAAACGAAAATCAATTTAATAATTTTATATAATATTGTATATTTTAATCATTTTATAATTATAAACTGTATCCAATCTGGGTAATACTGCATAAATATTATAATTTAATCAGTGACCATAAGAATGGTTTAGTTATTTTTGGCCATACTTTGATCAAAAAATTAAAAATACTTATATTTTGACTTCGATATAGGCCTATAAAAGTATATTGTAATTTTAATTTCTCATAGATTTATTAAAAATCATATATTCATCAACTTCATATTAGTTTATTATAAAAAAAATCGTTATAACATAAATAATAGTATGCTTTACAAAAATTACTTTTATAAGATAAAATTTTATTTCATTTTTTAAAATAAAAATGTTTTATCTATAATTACCCATAAAACCAGCTGGATAATTGGGATCGGTACGAATTTTTCCATCAACTTTAATTAAACGTTGCATAACAATTTTTGTTACTTCACAATTTGTTAAAGCATACTTCAATCTATTGCGTAGAAAAATAACTAGAGGTAATGATTCTCTCAATTTGTGTGGGCCAGTGGATGGACGTGGAGCATAAACGCCACCCAATTTGTCCAACATCCATGCTTTTGGTGCATTTAAACGCTTTAAATGCTTTTTCGGTCCACGAGCCTGTAAATAAAGTCATATTAATACAGTGCTCGAATTGACATTATTAATAACACACATTTCTGTTAAATCTCAACAATAAACAATTTGAAGTACAATTACAATTTGTATAAACTTTTATAATCTAACAGATCTGCGTTACAGGTTATAATACCACGTTATTTACCTAAAGATAATCAATAAATATTAATTCATTTGTTTAAAATAACAATTTTTAAATATAAAATTATAAATCTAAAAATAAATATAAGCGCTAACAATAATCACAAAAGAATTATCAGAATAACCAAAAAATTAGTACTATATTAGATTAATTTCTTATAAATTGAAAAATCTTCATTATTAAATACACATGCAATATTTCACTTTGTTTTATCAATTTCATTTTGGACGAAATACGTGAATTTACTATTTATTTAATCGATTGATGCAAGTGGATTAAAAATTAACGTCGATTAAACTTACCATGTTGGATACCTAAACGGAAAGAACTGTGTAGTTACAACGTAAATTAAAGCGAATGCCAAGAAATTCAGGAAACAAGTAAAGATGGCGGCCAATTTGAACTAGGTGTAGTGCAAATAATAGTTTTATTATGTATAGCATTACAAGAAAATATTTTTATATCTTTGTACTTATCATTATTTTAATAAAAATTTAATGCTCGTTAAAATAAATTATAAATATTAGAATATAAATTATATACCTAAATTATAAATCCCAGAAATAAATTTAAATAGGAGATTAGCTCCATCTACAATTTAAAAATGAACAGTATATATTAGTTTATATATTAATTGCAATGTGTTGTATCAAAATACAATAAAAATAAAAAATTATAATAAAATTAACAATTATTATACATAAAATTTTATAATTTAGGTAACTAAAATTATTTTATCTCAAAATTTCAGAATCTCTACACATTTGTTAATATTATCAAGCACACTTGATGCACCAATTCTAAATAAATCTTTAGTTAGCCAACTAGAACCTAACTCCTCTTTAACAAGTACGATCCATTGTATAGTATCATCTACTGTTTTTATTCCACCAGCTGGTTTAAAACCAATCTAACAATTATTAAAAATTGTTGAATGAATTATATGATATAAAATAAAGTCTATATTTTTATTCAATTAAATATACCTTTAGCCCAGTTGAGGTATGATAGTCTTTAATAGCCTTTGACATAACAATACCAACTGGAAGAGTTGCATTTATAATTTCTTTTCCTGTAGATGTTTTAATAAAATCAGAACCAGCTAACATAGCTACTATTGAGGCAATATAGACAGTCTTTAAACAAGGTAAATCTCCAGTAGCAAGTATAGTTTTCATTTTTATTTTACCACATGCTTCACGCATTAATTTCAATTCATTATACAGTTCGTGCCATTGACCATCAATTGCCAACTTTCTATTAATAACAATATCTACTTCATCTACCCCATAATTAACTACTTGTTTGATTTCTTTGATACGAGTTTGTAAATCAAGCTTTGCATCGGGAAAATCTCCAGCTACTAAAATATAAAAATACTCCACATAATAATATAAATATAATTATAGTTTAAAAATATTTTTGTAATATATTATAATTATAAGAAATTATATACATACCACTAACGACTTTAACTTGGTCTCTTACATTTAATTCTTTTAAAGATTGAATTGCATCACAGGCACTTGCAGGAAAAATACAAACAGCTGCAGTTCGTATAGGTTTATGCCATCCAAAATTTATATCAGTTGCTTTGGCAGCCTATAAATAACAAGTAAAGCTTGAATAGTTTCAATACAATAAAAATTATTACTTAAATAAATTATTTTTTATTGATTGATTATAAAAACAAATTAAATTTTTTGATATAAAAAAAAATATTTTTAAACTAATTTATATTTAATATATAATACATAACAGATATTAAAAGAAAACAAACCTTTGCGCACAGATTTTTAATATCTGCAAATGTTTCATCGCCTTTTAAACTAGTTAAATCTATATGAGTTATTGCACTCAATAACAGAAGAATTTTATCTTCCTCATTAACTGCATTTGATTCAATAATTATTTTGTCAACTTCTCTATTGATAGCCAATTCATTTATCTCTACACTAATGGCCCTTTCTATAAAAACAAAAATACTTTTTAAATATGAAATCTATACAATTTAAAAATTACTTTCATTTACTTATATGAACATCTGCTAATAAATTTTCGGTTGCCATTATTATAGAAATTTGTACAATTTAAACTATAATTATATCGCATTAATCTCTTGAACTAATGAAACCTCATCAGCTACAAAATAAATTAATCATGGCCTTATAAAAAAAGTTGCAATAGATGTATGTAAAAAATATTACTGAATAAATACTATATAGTGCATATGTAATAAATGAATAGAGGGAGTTAATTTTTAGCGGGAATTTTAAACATTCTTTAGATCTCTAATAAATTTTCACTATAAGTAAAGTATAAGTAAAACAGAAAACATTTTTATTTCTTACAAATCTATTACATTTCATGTACATATTTACACCAAAGTTTAATTGTTATTTAATCAAATAATAATAGTAATTAAATAAATAAATATTATATACCAATATTATAAAAAATCAGAAATTTGTGTTTTCAATATTACAATAATAATACAAAGTTTGATGTATAATTTTATCATATGAAAAGATAAATTTTATAATTTAATATGTATAATGTTTACTACTTTCTACATAATTTGTTATCATCTATGATGTTCCCATTTATCCCAATATTCTGTAGTCTGCATTTCCGCCAATCTAGATACTGTACGATCAAATGCAAATAATTCCTCTTCCCCAGTAAAAATATTAGATTTATGGTCATCCTAGAAACATATATAAATATTTAATTTCATGAAAGTTTCGTTGAGTCTCTGTACTTACTGTTCCATGTGATATTTTTAGATCATCCATCAACATACGTTTTTCATCGGTGTATTCTTCCTCGCCCTCTGATACAAACAACTTATTGTAAGGAGCAGTTGCAGAAACTACAACTCTTACCTACAGGATTTAAACAATTTTTAATTTAAATAAAATTCTTATTTTCAGAAGAATTATATTTCGAAAATTTAATATTACTGAATTCTGAAGGAAATCAATGATTATAATTTAATATTTTGCATTCTATTTTACTATATTTAAATTTTTAATTCTCATTTTTCATATTTTTCCCATACTATACAGAACATCTTTTACACAAATTTATTAGCAATTATTACCTTGTTGTCATATAAGGTATCAATAAGAGTGATAAATCTCCTTGCTTGTGATTTGAGTTTAAAATTAAGTTGAGGTACATCCCGAATAATTACTGTATGGAAAGCTTGACATATTTGGATATAATCACTAGCACCAAGTGGTCTATCGCATAATTCTTCAAATGTTGAATCCATAACTTGGCCACAAGTTTTATTGAATAAAACATTTCTGCCTTTAATATTAAATAACCTCGATCTTACAGTATCATTTTCCATTGAACATAAATATTTGAAGATTTTTTCAATTTCCTTATCAGCTTCTTGTCCTTTACTATAAATATTATTTATTTATTTGTTTTAATTTATATTTAAATTTACACAATATTTATTAACATTATTTCATCACTTTTACTTACATAAAATAATGTTTTTCTTTTCCTGATGCAGTTTTTGCTCTGTAATCAATTCCAGAGTCTAATGAAATTATTTTGCAATGATCTTTCAAAACTTGAATAAAAGGTATAAAGTGTCCCCTTTGCAAACCATTCTTATATAAATCATCTGGACTTCTATTACTTGTTGCAATAACCACAACTCCTCTATCAAAAAGTTCACTAAATAATCTTTTAAGTATCATAGCATCTGCAATATCTGTGACCTAAATAAAATAATTTATTTTGCAGTTAATTATATTATATTGAACATTAATTTATTTAATAAATAAATGTTTTCTCATAATATTTTATTTAGAAAAACAGAAATTTTATAAAAAGCACAAAAAATCTGTATAATAAAAATACTAAAATTAAAATTAAAAAATAGATAAAATTACTTGAAATTCATCAAAACAAAGAAGCCATATATTTTCGGTTATAGAAGAAGCTACTGGTGGTATTGGATCAAATGGTTGAAGTTTATTACTGCTGTGATCTCTGATAATATTTTTCTTAACGTTGTGAATTTTACTATGGACATCCAGCATGAAAGAGTGGAAATGAACTCTTTTTTTATTTTCCATCTATTTATAGATATTACATTATAAAAACATTTAGTTTAAATAAACAAATAGGAAAGGAACATTTATTACATAAAGAATTATTTAATATTAACATTATCTATATGTTCTTTCCTGCTTATAATACAGATAAGACCAACAATCAGATACCTGACAACAATCATAGAAAAGGTCCATCAACATTGTTTTACCTCCACCCACTGCTCCATAAAGGTACAGTCCTTTTGGTATTTTTCTTTTTTTCTTGTTTTTGCCAATCCACTTATTGAAAATACTTGGTTTTTGTGGTATATAATTATTCACATCTTGATAAACAGTTTGTAAATCTTTGACTATTTCTAATTGGTATTCATCATTCCTCAATTCTCCTTTGGAAAGTTTTCTTTTAAAACTTTCCAAAGGACTTTTAAAATTACTTTCTTTGGCATTGTCTGAATAACTGAAGTATTGTATTTTTAATATAAAAACTGATCGGTGTAACAATAAATTTATATAACTTATATTTAAAGACATAGATTTTTTTATAAATACACCAGCCATTTCTGTGAATTTTCACTAAAAAATATTATTTTAATTAAAATTATAATATGAAAATTATTTCTACAATATAAATTATTTTAAAAAATTTAAACCAAAGTTTTAAAATTTTAATAAAAAAAAAAATTATTGTTTGTAAATGCACACAACATACTAATTTTAAATTCAATTCAAGAATGTCATCAAAAATGTTGAAAAAAATACAAAAAAAAGATTACAAAAAAACAAAAATATTGTAATGTTAATGCTACATAAATTGTTAATTAATTGATTATTCTTACGTATATTTGTTGAAATCACAGTGCGCCGCACAGTACAAAAATTTACTACTGCAATTAGTTCAAGGAAATTGCGAGTGAAAAATAATTTCTAATATCAAGGTGACTTATTTAATAACATGTGATTTCACTTTACCTGTATATAAGTTTTAATAAAAAATGTTTCATAATAAATTATTAAAAACGCGTTTCTATACATTTCATTTACAATTTAAATTAATTTTATTTAGTTTATGAACCGTGACTACTTAAATATAAAATAAGACTGTCTTCTTTCATCATCCTAACTAACAATAAAATAGATATTGTTTTTCATTGCTTAAGTCTAGTACACGTGTGATATATAGTTTAACATCAAACTTCAAAGTTCAGCTATTTTATATATAAATGTATGACGAATAAGAATCAACTTAAACGGTTAACCTCTGTAAATTAAAAATTAAGAAAATGTATGCATTTTTAAAAAATCCAATAAATTTTTCTAATTCAACTTGTAACACGAATAGAAATATGTTTTAATAAATGTAATTATAAATTATTTGATATTTATAGAATTGACATTTTTACTAAAAATTTTAATTTTTTTGATAAAAACAAAAAAGTTATTATAGTACTTCAAAAAAATTTTAATTGTTTTCTTTTTTGTTACATAATTAAAATATACACTGTTATCTTATAAATTAATATAATATAATTGTAGATGTAAAATAATATAGATAAAAATTACTTAGATTATGATCATTCCTTTTTTTTGACAACTTAAATAATATATCGTGTTTGAAATTTTAAAAGAGAATTTAAATAAATGCCTTAATATATTAGTAAATTAATGTACAATATGAAATCTAGAAAAAATTTAAAAATAGGTTGTCGCTTCTTGATTAATACAAATTTCCAATGGTTAGGATAAAAATATTTTTTATAAAATTTATTTTCAATTTAAATAACAAAAAAAAACATATATGAAATTATTTAATACACATTATATACATATATAGTACATTATATAAATGTTTGAAATTCACGATTATTTGATATTTTCATTCACAAAATTTAAATGCAAAATATTTTGCAATTAATTATGTGTAAAAATAAAAATATTCTCTATAAAATACAATTTTATTGCATTCAAAATATTATTAGAAAATATTGATTGTTAAATAAAATATTGTTCATAAAAACACTAGTAATTATTAAATTTATTATAAAATAAAAAGGAATAGCCGTTTTAAAAATTTAAATTTTTTAAACTTTACTGACAATTACAAAAAAACTAAAGGAATAAATACAATTTTTAATCCAATTATTATTTCAAATTCAATTAATTGAATTTAATATTTAATAAATAATTTTTCTTTTAAATAAATAACTTTGTAATATATTATTTACTTCTTAATAAAGGACAATTTGGTTCTTTATGTAACATAAAATTTAGAATTATTTATACTTAGTTATCTATAAATAAGTTAAATATTTATTAAATAAAAATATACTTTTCATTTATTATTCCATTAGTTTATAATGAATTATTAAACATCTGATTTTATAGAAGCAAAAATTTTGTGTATTAAAATACCATGTTTTCCATTTTGAGTATTTATCAAAAGTGCAAAATACCTTAATATGTATCAAACACATACACCGGATTACAATAATTCCATTTAAAATATTAAAGCGTTATATCACAAACAAAAAATTTCTCAAAATTTAAAAACTTTGTTTTAAAATATATTAAATTTATATAATTATTTTTGCAAAAATTTTCAATAAATCCATCAATCAATTAATTTAGCTCAATAACTATGCTATTGAGTATCATACATTTAATATTGGTGTATCAGAAAGTGAATGTGTACGATTGAATCTGCGATTCCTAAGTGAAGCTATTGCTTTAATAAGATCAGTTCGTTTACTAAAAAAATCCACGATCGGTTGACCATTTAATGCAGATGCTAAAAATTGTTCAACAGTAATTGACCAATTAGGATCACGAAATGATGGGTTTGCTGGATTGCCATTACGATCAGATGACTGAAAAAAAATATTATATTAAATATTTTATATTGTTAAGATATTCTATAAAATATTAGTTTTTTTTAACCATTACACCAGTATGTTTACTTGTTAAAACAACTGCTGAACAATCTTCAGATTCTTCTCTTTCAACATAGAATTTTTTTCCAACATCTCCTAATTGAAGTAATAATGTACCTAAAACAGTTATATCAAGTATATTTTCTATCTGTTAAATATATATTTTACATTGTTCTTTATATGTAATTAATATATTATAAAATAATTAATAATAACCTACAATGTATAATATATAAAAAAAATTTTTACTTATTTATTTTGCCATGTTTAAAAATTAAATATGTTTATTAAAAACTTTTATTAATTAATTCACTCTTTATTAATTAAAACTTATTTTTTATTAATAAAACATTAATAGCATAATTAAGAACTTCTAAATCAGCTATCTTGTCAGTTTTTAATTTATTATATTACATTAGCTCATATTACAATTATTAAAATTCTGTATCAATTGTAAAGCAATCTTAATTTTACCAATTTCTGATATACACCAATATGTCTCTTGATCTTCGGGTTGAGCAGGAAACATATCATACAAGGTGTTCCACAATGCTATAAAATGAAGCTGAGACATTTTCGGCACGGTTTTTAAATTTAATGGACTATCTCTGGAAGCTATCATTGATCGTAAACTGCCCATACTTTGTTCTTCCCATGATTGATCACCTTGTGGACTATTCAAACTAGTTGATCGTGATAAAGTACTATTGGGTTCTTCAGCTAGACTAACTGGTAATTCTAACGATGTTATACTTTGTTCCATACTGTCAAAGAAGTCTGTGGCTTCTGCAGCAACTTCAGCACCATCTGAACAATCATCAATATTTGATATACAATGTAGTTATTACTGATAATAGTAGATACAATGGAGATATTAGAATTACAAATTAAAAATAAAATATCGATATTTTACCTGATTGTGTAGGAGAATCAAAATCTACTGGTGTCAATAATGGTGGTAAATGAAGTGTGTATAAGAGCTTTAATCTTTGTGAAGAATCTACAGTAGCTGTCATAGCAATAGCTTGTACCACTTCTCTAAAATTTAGAAGATTGTCGTGATTACGGTCCATTAACTAAAAATAAACTCCATTTTTATAATATTAAAAAATATTAAATATATTAATTATAAAATAAAATTTCTACTCGAAATAGTCTTGCAGCAAGAGATTCAGCTCGAGTACATTTCCCCCAAGGAGATAAACCGGCAAACAAAATCCTGAAAAGATCATAATCAATTTTATATACTTCGTATGGTGGTTGTGTTGGATCATATCGATCGGATTCTGTTTTTCTTTGACTCATTAATTCTTCTCTGATTAAACTCAATAATTCCTAAAGATAAAGCAATTCTTATGTATAAGTAATCCCAATAAATTTATTTATTAAATACCGAATGCGAGATTTTCAACCTGCAACTCTTCTGTAGTCATTAATTTTTCAGTAATAACGCTCCTTATAACATTTTTTTCAATACCGTCTTCTAAACTTTGAACTACTTTAAGACGGTGTTTTAATCGTAGTCTTTCAATTCCACCTACTGTTAAAGATCCATACTTTGCATATGATTCAAATATCAGTCTTTGAATGGAAATACTCTGAAAAAGGCAAATTATAAAAGATATAAATTATATTTCGTTTTAGAAGCAATTAATAAAATATAAAATGAAACTGTTACAAATTTACTTTATTTGGAGGTAGGTTATCAATAGGTCTAGGTAATATTGGATCTTCATCATTATAAACTCCTCCAAGATAATCAGTTAACAGCTGCATAGCTTCTCCATCATCGTGACATTTTAAAAGTTTCTCTTGATTCCACTCTAACACCGTTAATGCCACCTAAAATTAAAAGTTTAATTTACAGATATATGAATAAACATAATCAATTGACAAGCTTCATTCTTAATTTTCCTTAACCTGAAAAATTACTTTTGCTCCATCATAAAAGAAACAATCCATAATGTTAACTGCACTGCTGGTAGGCATTACACTCAAGAATATTGTTAAGAACCATGACAAAGAAATCACTCTAATTAATCCTAAATCCTGTAATCTAGCAGACAATCTAGGTAAATGCTCAGCTGCAAGTTCCTCTAACAATCCTTGATCTACCAAAGCACCGACTACTCGTCTGTCATAATAATCTGGTAATAATGATTCACAGACATTGCATAGTTGCCAAAAAGCCGATTCTTCTGAACAATAGATAAGAAGCACAGATGCTACTATATTCATAGCTTGACAATAACCTTTATGAAAAAAATATTTATATTAATTATCACATAATTAGAATTACTCTTTAATAATCTAAAAATTACGATATTTCTTTTTTATTTTAATAAAAAATATACATAAAAAAAAGAGTCGCATATATTTACATGCATACATTCACTATATGTATATATTGTTTATTGTATATTTTAAACAACAATATATTTTTTTCCATGCCAAATTTATTACCTAATTTTTGTCAATAGAAGTGAAAATGAAAAAACGTTTTTAAAATAAATTAATTTAACATTCACAATAATTAAAAAAGAATAATTTTAGTTTAAATTATACCGATTTGTGGATTTCTATATGCATAGGCAGAGAGAACCCGTCTAAGAGCACTAATTCCAGTGTCAGATTGAAAAGCAGGGTGCTCTGGTAAAGATCTGTGAAGATCTCGTTCAATTTCTTCATTAGCTTGACACAATTTTCCAAGAGACTGATCAACTAAAGATTTGTATAATCCAGGATTCATTATCATTTCATTAAGAGCACCTTAAAAATATACATTTACAAACAATGGTTAGAAATAATTAGAACTGAAGCAATATTATTTTTAATGATTTTTATTTCATAAATTGAAGATGATTACCAGAAAATGTTAACCAAATTTCACCCCTAAGAATTTGTGGTATACCAGCAATAACAAGCTTAGCAGTTTCCACAGTTCTATAAATTGTCATTCCTCTCCCATATTCAGAAAAGTGTAACTCCCACTGTTTTTCCTTTGCTTCTTGCTTAATAGCTGATTCTGTACTGAGCGGAGCTTTGAATAATTTCATCAGTGCTGGTTGAGACATCCAAATTGGTCTTTCTTCACTTTGATCATTTGTTGTATCACTTCCACTCTCTTCTTTATTCATATTAAATGGTTGAGACAAAATTTTTATTTTAGCCAACAATTCTGATATTTTTTGTATTACAAAATCTCTATCGTGTATTTGAGCAAAAAGAAATGATGATCTTGCAGTTGTAACCAATATCGATTTACCTACATCAGTGTTCGACGCTTGATTTTCGGCTGATTCAATAAGTCTTACTTCTTGTAATGATATAACTAAACTTACCAGTTGTTTAACCTAACATAGTTTAAATAATACAATTAACAGTAGTATCATTAATAGTTTAATTAGATGATTTAAATAACAACTTACTCTGCTTTCAAAGCACAAATAATTTTGAGATAAATAAATTTTTCCCCAATTATGCCTCTTATTGTAAGGAGTCCATAAAGTTGCATCAACACAGCCATCTAACTTTTCACTTCCTGGTAATCTAAATTGCAACCTATAAGCTTCGGAATGTGCACGAGCATCCAAATCTCTTTTTAAAAACGACGGCTTCTTAGGCACATTTTTACTAAAAGACAATAAATTATGAATAAATAATAAATTATATCTAACGTATTTCTGTAAACATTAGTAAATAAATTTTTACCTTAATTTTTTTAGAAGATCTCTATCTTCATTAAAACCACTCTTTTCATCAATAAGTCTAAAATTAAAATTATCTTATATGAAAATTATTTTTATAAAAATTAATTTTTAATAATAAATTACAACATACCGTTTCATTGCAAGATTTGTTAATTGTTCCATTAATGAATATGTTTCGTATTTATGAAGAAACATTGAAAAATAATGCTGTGAAATAGTGTTAAAAATATTATTTACATTTTTATATGGAAATTATGTACACTGCAATTTGTATCTTATAATATATACAAACCTCTTTACCATCGCGTGTTACTATACGAATACTGTCGGGAAATACACGAGAATTTGTTTTATTTAATTCTACAATATCTGCCCACCGAATAATCAATTTAGTTTCTTTTGACAAAATATAAGCATAAAAATACATTTGATTTACAGATAAATACAGCCATCCTTGCCTAGGTAGATGAGATTTCCAATAACTACAAATTAAATTTTAAAAGATGTATATTATTTTAAATAAAAAACATGGCAGTATTCAAAATAATTTGCTTCAAATATGTATATTTGACCTGCAAGAATAATAATTTACAAGTTTGTCATCTTTGGATAAATTAAAAAGTTGATGAAATTTATATGAAACTCTCTTAAACGATTGTGAATCTTCATCTACAAAAAATAAGATTGTTTAATAATATTTTCTACAAGTTAAACTTTGTATATATAAGAAAAATAACATACCATCGGCTAATGTACAGTCTGATGCATTATTTGCTATAATAGATTGTATTTTGCAGCACACAAAATCTGTAATTTCTTCTTCTGTATCAAAGGATTGCAATGTAGTTGTTAAATTTTCATGCAGCCATTCCCAATCTTTTACTATTTCTGAGTGTGTCAGAGAACATGCCACCACTACAATTATATATTTATATTAATACATTTTATATAATTAATATAAACATAAAACGGCAAAATCATAAGAAATCAATGAAATGCATTAGTGTAAAACCTAATTTATATTAAGGCTATAGAACATAAATATAAAAATTGTTATTCTTGTAAACTAAAGTATAAAAACTGAATTTGACTTCTATAACAGGAAATGGTTATCAGCTGCTACTTCATTATCAGCAATAGTTTCTTGTAATTTAGTTTAATATTTATATATTAATACTATTAAAAATATTAATATTATTTTTGCAAACATAATAAATATTGTATTTCCAGTATTAAAAATATTTACTTTCTAATGTACTTAATAATTTATATAAATAAGATATATATAAATAAATTATTAATATATCTATAGATAAGACATTTTATAAATATAAAATGTACCCCAATAAACTTCGGATGAAGGCGTTTGATGTAAAATTCTGAACGGTGATGGCTTTGTATCAAAGACACTATCTAATGTTCCAACAATAATGGATGTGAGCCCTTTAATTTTTCCATAACCTTTTCTTCGTTGTCTCACAAAGTATGTGGTAGCATCTTCGGTAATCCTGAAAACATATTTTAAATATTATGTTAATATTACTCGTGATGAAATTTATTTTTTACTTAATAATAACAAAGAGTATACTTATGTAAGTCCCAATGTGTGCTTATTGATTTTAATGTATAAAAAATATTATATATAATTGCATGCAATTCCTGCTTATCCTGTAGTTTAAAATTTTAAATGTTTAAAATAGAAAACAATTATTTTGTAAAACTAAATAAATTATATTAGATTTAAAAATAACAATTCAATTTCATTCTATAATTTATTCATACGTTGAATTGTATTTATTATTGTGAGTCATACAAAAATTAGATAAAAAGAATATTATATAAAACTAACAAGATTCAACAATTAACGAGATAAATGATAGTGAAGTAATGAATAGCGCACTATGTTGTAATTTTTCTTCTGTCACATGCAATGGGAAAAAACAGTACACGCACAGGAAGCCGCGAAATTTTAACGAAAGCATCAAACATAATGTGCGTTAATTTTGACTAGCACAGAAATAAAATCAACAACAGAAAATAACAGCTGATTATGGTTAGCGCGAACCAGCGAGAAATGGAGCTTGATCCCCTGTAAGAATTTCGCGCTCTTTGAAAATGTAAATAAGGGAATTTGTCCCCATCCAATACGAAAACGTACAGTCGCTGCTTGGCCAGCACAGCCTACATCTATAATTTCTTATCGCTATACTTCCTATACTCACGCAATGTCCTGCTCACTCCTTTTTATAACTTTGTCATTTATTTAGCTCCTATTTACCATAAAGCATTGACTAGCAAAACCTCTTCTGGCTTCACCCACATATTTTGTCGATGTCGTCTCGAACCAGCGCATATGGGACTAATTCATCGAGGCTTGCCTCTTCGCGTCTTTCAGAAAACCTCTTCTTCTGCCTCTTCTAAAGCAGCGCGCGGAAAAATGTACGTATTTGGTCGTCAACTTCTGCTTCTTGCCCGGTGGTGCTATTTGTGCGTTGTACAAAAAAAAAAATAAATACTGTTAGAAGTCGAATGGATGGCTCTGGTGAAACCAGTTGTGCTTTATTATGCCTTTTATAAATTATTGCCGTTATTATTAGAAATATGCTGTCGTATTAAGAAACGCCAAGAGGGACTGAGACAGAGAAACAAAAAGATGTAACGGGGAACCAAGAGAGAGCAAAATAACCTGATAGATTAAGATGAGGCGTACATGAACGACTATGTAAAGTGATCGACGTCACACCTACAATACAATTGCTGCTGCCCCCTTGTACTCAACTTATATTGCAACTGGCTACATGTGTATATGCTTTTACAGCTGGCTATGTGTGCATCGGATACATTGTATTATTATCATTTGCAATTCATGTAAAAAGTGCAACCATAAATAAACAAATAATATGAATAAATAAGATCATTGAATGCAGAAATATTTAATAGTGGTTATTACATGCAGTTGTTTAAAAAATTCCTTAAATAACCTCTTTACTTTATTTTCGGAAGATAAGGAAAGCAAGCGACTTAAGAATAGAAAAGTTCGCTTTTTGCTCGTCCCAGTGAGACTGCGCCACAGTATCTATCAATAATTATTCCCGCCTAAAATGAAAAATTAATGAATACCAAATGCAGGAAATAGTGTTATAAAACAATGACATGGTATTTTAAGAAATAAGTTTTATTTATTTATGAATAATTAGGCTAACTGTGTTGGGATCATAGATTTTATTAAACTTTAGGAGATTTCATACTTTCTAACATATTTCCATTAGTTTTGGAAACTGCTTAATATTGAAAATGAATCATTTAAAACTTAAATTATCGACAAAGATAATGGCAAGATAGTTATTGTTTACAAATCATACACTTTCAATGATATTGTACATCTTTACGAGTATCAGAAATGAAATTTACTTAATTGTTGAGAAAGTACACGAGTAAGCTAAGAATCACTGTAGCAGTTTTCTTTACAGTTAAATTACTAAGCATAAAATGTATACAAAAGCATAAATTCTGCCACCTTTTTTTCTTAATGTCACATTTGTACAACATAAATGCATAATTTTCTTTATAAATAATTTGTTTGTAATTTTTTAAATTAAAAGTAACATTTATCAAATAGTTATTCTATTAATTACTTATTACGGAATTAAACATATTGGTAAAACAATGAATAAAATACTCATTATCTTGCTACATTTTTTGCTAATAACCATTATATATAAAAACTACTATAGAACGGAAATAATTATATTTTTAACAAAATACAAATACCATTTGCTATATAGAATATTACATAAATAGAAAATTCTAATAATAGTTCAATTGCCCTAAGTAGAATTAGAATTGCCTTAAATTCTTATAAATAAAGTGAAATTTAATAAACCAAACAAATATATTTGATTTGATATTTTATTATATTTTATTTAGTTGAAAAATATAACACATATAGATATTTTTTTAATTTTATATAACTTAAAAAATTAATAATGCTTAATGCTTAAAGTATAATGCATTTTGAGTGAATTTAAAATACATCTAGTACGTACATACGCATTTAAAAAATTAAGAATGTAAAGTAAAAGTTAAATATTTGAATCAAATTTTATATATATATATATACACATATATGAAATATAAAAATGAAATGATTTTAAAATTTAATGGAAAAACACATTATTCGATAGACAATTGAATAATATATGGAGATATTTAACTAATAAAAATTAAATATATTATAAATGAAATAATGATTGAAATATTTGCTGAAATCCATCTTTAATAATTAAAAAAAGCTAACTCTAATACTTTGAAAATTAAGCACAAGTAATCCAATTATGCATGGAAGTAGGAATGAACAATAAATGATTTAATAGATGTTCTATCCTTTCGAATTGGTAATTATTATACAGACAGTCAGTTGAGTCATGCGATAAATGATGGTTTCGATCAGACAATTTTCCATCCATTTTTTTTTTTTTTTGGCACATTAAACATTATTTACTAATTCGCTTGCATCCATTTCCTTTTTCAAGAATGCTCACTATTAGTTTTGCAACATAATACAAAATTCCTATAGCAAGTTATATTATTAAAATCCTAATTCTTTTTCTTCGACAAATATTCTTGTAAATTATATACTTTCTGTTTGTTATCATAAAACTAGATAAGTTCGGATACAATGCTTACCTCTATTTTCTCCGAGAGAATCAAACTATAATGTTTGTGCAATTTTTAAATTATAATCTAAAATTTACAAAACAAACAATACATTTATCTAATTTATTAGAAAAAAATCTGATCAATTAAAGTGTATGTCACGGTCAGATCAGAAAATATACAGTAGTTTTGAAGAAGATAATTAAAATCCAATAAATTTGTATATAATGAGATAAAAATATAATTATGATTCTATTAATATTGATTATATGAAAATGTACGGCTGATTTCAAAGGAAATTTTAAACTAAATTACATCATCAATTTAATTGATAATAATATAAATTTAAAATATGTGATGAACAAATGAAATGACCTTCGCGAAAATACAAATTTAAAGCTTCTTATATGTAATAAGAAAAAAATAATTTCATGAATTGTAAATAAAAAATGTTATGCAATTATGAGTATTTAAATTTAAGTAATCATCGATTTCTTCTATTGTTAATAAAAATTTTAACGGGCTGTTTAAATCTTATTATACACAGAACGATATTATTATATTATATAATCTAATATATCATAACATTTATATGAGATTTTTACTAAAATCTGCAACATTAAAGTTAAATAAAAAATTTCTTATTAAAAACTAATAATTTGATTAAATTTAATTCCTGCTTGCATTCATTTTTATACATAGAAATTTATTCGAAATTGATGAGTATCGTAATATTCTTTAATATTACTTGTAATTAGTGAATCAGTTATTTTAAAAGAGTCTTGAGCCAGCTCACTATTTCTTCAGCAAAAGCAACGAGCTGTTAGTAAAATCGTGCTAATTTTATGATTGTAAATAATTTACCAAAACAGGTGTTCGTCAAAGTCTCCTTATTTAGAAAAAAAAACCACAGTATAATTTTAAAAATAAAAAATTGTAATTCATTACAAGCTTAGAAATCTGTATAAGACATTCTAAATAGATATTTAAAATATTTTTCGTTACAGATTTGTGAATCTTCAATATTTTTCATAAGTCACATAACTACTTAAACGTTTTTTTACTTAAAACTAATTTTTATAAATTAATTTATTTTATACATTTATTTTCATTTGCTTACTTTAAAAAATCTTAGAAAAGTTTTTTAATTAAATAATCTTTAGTTGGTTGTGAGGATTTTTAAATGTTTTTTTGATATTATATGAATAATAAAATGCTTTACGTAATTTAAAAAAAAATTATTTATTTTAAAAATAACTGTAATATAATTATAGGTTCTTTAATTACCAAATTTCAATAAGCAATAGAAAATTGAAGGATATAAATAGATGCCGTATTAAAGATATTTATTAATTAGTTTTAAGTAGATCATTCTTTTTAATTTTTTAAGAATTTATCTACGAATCTTTCATTAATATCTACAGGTTTTTTGTGTACTTTTCCAATCTTAATCATGAAAAAAATAAACAAACAAATTTTAATACCAATAATTCCTCTTTAAAATTTAATGGTGTACCTTCACATTATGAAGTAAATAATTATAAGTTAAAATAAAAATTTTATCTATTGTTTTTACAATTTTTATTATTATAAATAAATGAAGATTTATTTCATATAAATTACTTTATATTCTTAATTTAATCTTAATTTAATAAACGTGAATGAAAAAATTTTTATTTAATAAAAAATCAAATGATAAATGTATAATTTTTAGGAAAGGCTGACAAATGATAAATGATAAAAAATTTCAAGTAATAATTTTATTGAAATATAAGGAATCTGTACCAGACAGAACTAAAATTACTGTTGGATTTGGTGCTACCGGGGTTCACATATCGTATATGCCTGTGTTATCTTTTTTACGCCATTATGGTATAGGTAAATCGATCATCTATAAGTACAGAAACAATATCGAAGGTACGTGCACAGTCTATCTTGAAAGTTTAAACCTAAGAATGATCATTCTCCTATATTCCATTCATTAATTTTTTATTTGTCTTTTACTTGTTACCCTTTACTTTTCAAATATTTGTTCAGCACTCGCTTGGTGTAACATTTACAACACAAGGGATTCAAGCTATTTACAATACATAACACAGTAATCTACAATACACAAATTTGTCTCGCTCTCATACGTTCTCGCATTTTTTTCATTCACTTACATATCGCACAACTGTACTTATTTTCGTTATTTACAATTTTATTTTTTTTACAAGATACGCATTATCTTAATTCATTCCGTGTTCCTTTTACGCTTCTTACTTTCCTCTTCAATGTACAATTATTACAATATTTTCATGTGTCAATTCTAGAAGTTTATAGCTCTCAGGGAGCAATTAATATTAGAGTACACAAGATGTCCCATTGTGAAAAAAACGGTAAAAGGAGTGTGTGCTTTTCGTGCTTTTTCCAAGTAAAAAATATTGAAATTTATTTTTCTGACATTTGTTTGTAAAAAATGTCAGTTTGTAAATTTACAACTGCATTATATTTGTATTTACAATGTATGTGAGATCTGAAATATTTCAGAAAAAGCTTCGGCAATGTGATGGGATATCTTGCATGCACAGTTTAATTCTATAACACTAAAAATTTAAAAATCTATAAATTATCGTAATCGATTTAATAAATAAACAACATATACGATTAATTTTTGTTTTTTTTTAAGGGTATCTTCATTAATTATCTATATATCACGGATTTACTGGTTCTGAAAGTGCATAAGAGAAAATTGCACATATGTAGGCATTTATGAAATAATTTAAATTGAATTAATGGTAATATGTACTTGATGAAACACATAATTTGGTCTAGAAGTTTCATTAAATCTTAATCCCTTCCATCATATTTCACACAGATTGCATTTAGAATAAAAAGAATCGTAATGCTGAGATAAGTGCGAAAACTTAGACATAATTGTTAAAGGTCAATCGATTCATGCGTCGTGTCAAGAACCATCTATTATATATTATATAGTATTATAACAAATGCATTTCTTTTTTTATTTTTCCGCTTTTTTATTTTTAATTCAAAAGTTTTGAAAAGAGCTCGTAAACGTCAATGACGTTATACTTAACAGAAAAAGGAACTCGTGCAAATTAGCGAAAAACGATTAATTTTGCTCATTACGTTGTAATAAAAAGTAAAGAACTAATTCTTAAACTTTTATATAAGTTTAAAATGATAATCTTAAAAAATGATTAATTTTAGGAACTTATACAAAGAAAAAATATTTATTTCCTTCTAATAAGCGATATACTCGTTAAATACACTAGCCAAGTTTGAACCCGATTTAACTTGTCACTATTAACTTGTCATACATTAAACTGACAGTTTAGTAGCCGAGCAATTTACTTTAGAATTGCATATGATGCTTCGATTTTACTTTTATGGTCTTAGTTTTTTGTATTATTTTCAGTAAATCTATCAACTAACAAATGTTTTTTTAAATTGTTTAGTTTCGTGTCTTCAATTAAGTCGAAAACAGTAATGATTAACATAGTTTAATTTCTCTCATCATACATGTATCGCAGCATTATTTAACGTACTTTTTTATTCAATAAATTAGTATTATCTCATTCGATCTACCTTTGCAATTACTGCAACGAAATAAAAAACTATCCAAAAATGTTTTCGTTTTTGTTTTAATCTTGTAAAAATCATGAAAGTATACGTTCGTTATTTTATCAATTTCTGTATAATTTTGTACATGCGTATGTACGTGTCATGTATACGTGTGGCATACAGGGATGTCGCATGTAGATATAGATGGATAGGCGTAGGTTTGTGTTTAAATCACTTTAAACTTTATTACTCTGTATTGACGCCTCTTTCCTTCTATTTCAAATCTCTCTCTCTCTTTCTCTAATGTGTGCGCGCGCTCGTCTCGTGCTTTAGTGCGAAAATAATTTATATATACAAGCTTTAAAACATTTGAATATTACAACACACGGTTTTCTCTTAACCAATTATCTAAGCCATCATTTATTGATAAACATCGCTCTTCGGATCTCGCTCACGAAAGAATCCTTTCTCAGTCTTGCATTCCCTGATGGTGACGGTCTTGAGATTAACGGTAACGTCCGTAATGAAGACCTGATCAGCCACAGGATTACGCGCGTGCCAATAATCAGTGCCGGGACTTATAAGTGGCATGTAAACAGTTTCACTTGGTTTTATTACATCTGTCTGTTGTTGATGCTGCTGTTTAATGCTCGTTGATTTGATACTGTTTATATTATTATTATTGTTGCTATTATTGTTGTTGTTATTGTTATTCGTGATATTGGTGTTAAGATTATTGTTGTTGTTTATGATGATGTTGTTGTTGTTATTATTATTGTTGATGATATTATTGTGGCTGTGATGGCCGTTGAGAACTGTAACATTTAACCTGTTATTGTTGGTATAAGAATCCGTGGGACTTGGTGATTTATGTCCGTTAACGTCCATGCTTATCTGGCCGTTTTGTTGTTGTGTTTTCTCCTTTTCACCGCTCTTACGCTGTTCCTGTTGCACCATGTTCTGCTGCTGATGCTTCTTTTTCGTTGGTTGCTGTAAATGTTGCTGTTGCTGCTGTTGCTGCTGCTGCTGTTGTTGATGTATCGGATGGAGTTCAAGTGGTGTCTCGATTTGGGGGGACAGAGGAGATGAAGGAGCTCGCGGTAGTGACGGTGGCGGTCCACGTGGCACATCGGCCTCAGGTCGCTTCTTGTCCAGCAAGGGGGGGGCCGGTGTCGTGGGGACAGCCGGTAGTGGCTCTTCCGGCGTTGATTTCACGCTTGATGAAGATGGTCGCCTACCATTCACTTTATGCGTCTGAAATATATGAGAATGGAGGAAGTGAGTCACTTTATAATATACTGCTGCAAATAGTTTATAAACAATAAATTTAATCACAAATACGAACAATTATGTGTAATTTTCAGAATTTTGCAGTTACTTAAAGTGTAATATACAAAACTTTTTAATAGTTATATTAAGATTGTTTGCCTAGAAATAATTTGAACACAACTCATTTCCTTTCTGAAGATATATAAACAATATAACTGTTGTACATAATTGGATAGAGGCAAGGCAAATAATTTATTTTTTTTAACCAAAATTATAATATATAAAAAATAAATAAATATTCATGTAAACAGATATGATTGATATATTTTCATCTTTTCTTTAACAAGTACAACAAACAACCGCTTTAAATACTACAATAAAATATACGTGCCCCAAGGGTATACATATATAAACGTGGACTTTGGAAGTTGAATGGCGATATGCTTTAAATGAATATTCAAGATTGCGCGATACTCACATGATAAGTCGGTGAAGTGGAACTGTTGGTGGCCTTGAGTGGTAAGAGTCTGGGTATTTTGTTGGGTGGCGGACTGCCACTGCCACTGCTTGGGCTGCTGGTAGTGATTGTGACGCCGATCTTACCGGATTCCTTGCTCAATACCTCGGCCTTCCTCTTGGTACCGGCAGGCTCGCGTTCCGGTAAGAGGGGAATGTCGACACTACTGCTCGAGCTGTCTGCCGAGGCTGAAAGCTCGGTGGGCGGCACCGGAGAATCGCGCCCATCAAGTGAACTTGCCAAGGTATCTTCGTCGACGTTGAGGCCGTCGACACCGACATCGTTGAGGCGCTCAACTACGGCTACAACCGTCGATGCGGCCGCGGCCGAAGCCTCACTCGCCGATTCATCCTGACTATCCTCGCCCACGCGCTCGTCCCCGCCCGGCTCCTCCTCCACAACAAGATTAGCGAGCACTTGCTCCTAAAATTATAAAAAAAAACATTATCAGTGTGACATTTATACTTTTTTCTATTATAAAAAAGTAGTGAATAAATAAAATAAAATGGAAATACATCGACAGTCATTATCAGTGAAATTTTATTTTTTATCGAGTTAACTTAATTTTAACGTTAATTTTAATTAAATTTTAAAAACATCATTAACTATTATTAAAGCTATTTTTCAATTTATAACAAAAATAATGTTTTCAATTTAGCCCAGAGTTAAGTAATCGCAGATATACATGGCGTTTATTATATTTAAAGTCATTTTGGTTAAGTATTTAATTTAATGAACACAACTTTGATAAAACACTTTCAATTCATATTAAACCCCGACCTAATCCACTTTTAATTAATAATTTTATACGATTTATTTAATATTATTGAAATTTACGTTTATTCATATAACTTATGAAATCATTAATAAATTTAGTTGAATTACTTAATACTAACTTTAACAAATACCAATGAATTATCATATACAATATAGATCTAACTAGAAAGAATTATTTTTTATCATTTTTATATTATTAATAATTATAAAATTATATTATTTGTTAGACATGAATAATATCAGCAATAGTAATAAAAATTACAATTCATGTATATTGATTATACGTATATTAAATTTTATTTTTTTTAATGTACTATTTATTGTGCAAGATTAATCTACATTTTATTAATTATATTAATTAATACCTTTTTTTATTGTATTATGTTGTGCAATATGTATAGTCTTTTATTAAACAACAAAATACATATAAAGGAATAATCAATTTTTCTTTACTTGTTGTTTTTTTAAATATTCTAAAAAATATATAATAACATAAAATTTCAGCTCCAATAACAATCATTGTCTTTATTATTTATTATAAGTAACACACTTTATTCTAATAAATTTTAATTCAATAAATTTGAAAAATTATTAAAATTATTAAATAATATTTTATTGAGCATAACTTTATGAAATAAAAGTTTTTCAATTCAAAATGTTAGATATATTTATTTATAATTAAATGCCAGTAATTAATGTATGTAAAATAACACCTTATATTAAAAATACAATAAATTATAATAATTATCTATTTACTAGTTATATATAAATAAGCAAAAACATTTTAAGTACCTTGTTATATGATAATGAAACAATATGAAAATTATATAAACACTTACACTATATCTTGCATCCCTTCGCCTTGGTCTTCTAGTCGTGATATCACCTCCCCTTTGACTCTCTTCATAAAGTTCGATTAACCTGTAATCTAAAATATTTTCTTCTGGTTCCCACGTGTTGTATCTGAAAATAAAAACATATTTTTAATTTTATACAGTATCAACTAGATTATAATAGTAATAATTCTTCAATTTATTCACTTTAAACAATTAGTGGATTATTTAAATATCAAATTTATTTACTTCCAATAAATGCACAATAAATAGTTTAATAAATATTCTATGAAAAATCTTTTTTTATTTGATGTTATAGTTTTTTTATTTAATAATATTAAGTTTAATCACATTTTTAAAAACCCAAAATTCTTAAAAATTCTTAAAAAATATTTTCTAATAATCTTAACATAACTAATTATGACTGAAGATAACTTAATATGTATGTTATATTCTACCATCATTAATATAACTATTAATTCTAATAAATAAATCTTTATGTAATAAGAAAATAAAACTTTGTTTCTAATATAAAAATTACTTTTATATATAAGATTATTCGCACTTAAAACAGAAAAAATAAAAATAGAAATAGCACTTTATCCAATCGCGAAATTTTTTTTGTGATTAAAAACATCTAGATAAATTTTATATATGATACTAAGATAAAAATAGAATGTCCAATTTAATCGTTTGTCTATGTCTGTAATAGATGTTTAAAATTTTCAATTATTGAAAATTTAACTATTTTATAAAGAATTAAAATCTTTAAACAAACTAGAAATACAAAATCAAATATATAAATATATATGTGAGCGTGTGCGTGTGTGTGTGTTATAATTTTGAATATGCAGTATGAAAACGTAAAATAACCAACAAAATGTTTAATTTGTCAAAGTAAAATGGTTGCTATTTAATGCTGAATAATGTCCAATATTAACTATACATAATATATTTTAATCACGAATGAAACGATGAGTGGTATCTTAAGTTACATTATTTTTATACATTAATTAAAAAATAGTATCTTTCAATAGAAAATACTTCAATGCAAAAGCAATACTTACTTTTTGCTCCAACCCTTCCATTTGACGTAGTACTCGACTTTGCCCTGTAACGAAAGAAATAGAGGTTAAAAATATCATTTAAAATCTTTTCAATCACTACATGTATTGGACATAGACATTTGTATACACAATTCAATTTATTTTCATTTATTTTCAGATAAGAGTGGATGTGTATGAATTAAATATAGAAGTATGAATTAAATGGCTAAAAAAGCAAAAAAAATTAATACTCCCTTGTAATACATATTAGTATAAACAATCATAAATTATTTAGCGGGATTAATGCAAAATTAGCACTGGCCATTCAAACCGCCCAGCCGCAGTAAATACAATGAAAATACAACTATAAGTGAATAAAGAAGTAAACAAGAATGAAAAAGAAAAGTTTGAAATAGAAGGCAGACGGGATATGATTTCCAAGATAATTGTAGGTGTTTCCAAACTTTCAATTGACCGATAAAAGGCTGTTGATGCGCTTATCTGTTACGAGTGAACTCCAATGAAGTCCCCGTTTACGATACAATGGACCAGAGTATAGGTCATAAACATTACATAGAACAATTAATGACATAAATTATTCCTATTTTCCATTTCCTCTTCTGTAAAGAATCCTACTTAGTATTAAATTTGTAAATTGTCGAGACTAGGCAAAGAAACATTATATGAGTGAATGATAATTAATAATAATTAATAATAATAATTAAATTTTTTCTTGAGTATTTTGGACGGTATAATTAGAATGCGTGGACATACTTTTATTAAATATTTATGAGATGCGGGATGTGGGAACATCTAGATATGGCTTTTCAATTGTTACAATTGCTTTATGATTAACAAACGTATTTGATGAGTGCGTATGTTCATGTAAATTTAGCCAATGCTTTTAACAATAAGAATACGCAGTCATAAAAACATTTGTAATATTTGAATCATCGTATATTAAAGTGCGCTCAACAAAGATTTTTCAATATACAAGACGAATACCATTTTATAATTATGGAAATATAATATTTATTCTACCTCAACATTACACTTTAAATATCTCATACATAATTTAATTTCCGTGTATTACTTTTGTTTGTTGTGCTTTCCTTTTAATCCTTTTTGTCCGACAAAATATATTAAATATATATATATATATATATATTTTTTCATTTCAACATGAAAAAATCGTGCTCAACAACGTATCTTCACGCATACAAAAGTCGCCATCGTAGTCAGAATGTCATGCGTAGTGCTACGTGCATTTATTCACGCTACTGCTTACCCATGCATTTACGTTCTCTTTCAATTTAAAAAAAAAAATTGAAGATTAGACAAAAAATGACGGATGTAATTATGCTTACAAAAACTTTTATTTATTTTATAAATTTATATGTAGAGTAATATATACTTAAATATAAATCTAAATAAACATAAAGAAGTAATCGTATAATAGTAAAATGGTGAATACTAATACTGTAAACAGAAAACATTCATTTTTATAAAAATGTAAATTTATATATAAATAAATACTATAAATAATATTAAATACATCTCTTTAATTGATTCTCTATTACTGAACTTTTATTGTGATTTTTTATACAACGTTATTATATTAATTTATTTAAAAATTTAATATTACTAATTTTTATATACAATGTTTACTGATATGTAAACTAAAGAAATCATGATTTAAATATGTTCACAGTTTTAATTTGTAACAATAATTTTTTTCAGTATATTATATCAATTATATATTATTTAGATGATTTCTATATATATTTCTTACGCACTGCCAGGTTGCGAGTAAATTTATATAATTTTTCATTTAATAATACTGATTTATAGTGAAATCATCATCAATAAAAAATTTATTTAGAACAATTATTAGATTGTCATTACTCTAATACGAGCATTTAGTATTTAGTTGTTTTTTAAATAAAATTTTATATTAGAATCTGTAATTATACGATGTTATAATTTCTAAATCAACCATTACTTAGATATAATAATTATGAAGTTGTTAAAAATCATAGAATTACTACATTTAAAATAACTGCTATAATTAGGTAATAAGACGTACTACTAATTAGGTATTGAGACGTACTCTCTTGGACTCCAGTTCCAATAAAAAGTACTTCCGGTAAAAAGATATTTTATGCCTCTCTCGACTCCAGATCTCATGTCCTTTCTACATGCTTTTACTAAAAGCCGATGTTTGAATATGCGTAACCAGCTCGATAACAAGAAGGCCAAAGGCCGTACTGTGAAACAAACACGGTGGTTGCTGTCAACCGCAGGCAAAATTCTGAATACAGGGTGACATGCGGGCGTTAACACGACCAATAAAACGACACGATCATGTATCGCATCAACATAACCCATTGGGTCTTCCATTGGTTAATGTCCAGTGGCTGCCTCTCTTCACTCTTCATTCTTCACTCGCAACTTTCTCTCTTTCTTTCTGTCTGTTATATGCGCCAACGTGTGAATATACGCGCCTGTGTATTCATAAAAATAAACAACAATCGCTCTCCCTCCAAGATAAAACTGCACCCGGTAACATTCCGGTAGCTGACTGTCGGGAAACTGATAGGTCAGCACCACGTTCCAAAGCAATTCAAGAGCTCCAGTACTTAATTATTGAGTTTCATCCTTTTGCACCCAAAGAGGTTTGGAGCGAGCTCGTGATTACTCGTCGCCGTTTTGACAAACTTATCACGAAGAGACAATATACTTTTAAACTAGGTTGTATTATATGTCACCATCTAATTTTTCACACAATAAACTGGGAGAAATAAGATCATCTGTAAATAAATCTTCTTCCCTTTTAATTTTAAATAAGGTAAATTTTTTTTGTTTTATTTTTCATTATTATTTTTCTAACTTCGATTTTATTACTGCAAAATTACGCTCACCATTACTTATGGCCAGTATCAGATCTTACGGAAATTTAATAGCATTTTTTCAATTATTTGATTATTTTATAGAGTTTATATCAACAGTAAATATGAATTTATACTTTGAATATCAGTACAGTAAATACCAACACTAACCAAACAAGAATTGTAATATTTAATCTTTTAAATAGCAATTTTCATAGTCGAACTTGCCATTCAAATTCTTAAAAATTATAAATATTTCATTCGTAATATAATTATAACAAATAAATTAAAATAGTGTTAGTTTCGATTAATTTAAATTTTCACGATAGATAATTTTTTATCGCATTATTATTTGCTTAAATATAAATTATTATGCTTTTACCAATCTGTATGTGTTAATATAGCTTCACACATATAAATTAAAAAATAATTAACGGATATTGGATAAAAAGTACCTTCTTCAAGAGAATTCAAATAAATCAAATAATGTTTAAATTGGACAACTTTACGAAAACTTATCGAAAAGGAAAGTTCATAATACTTATCCTGCTGTCAGTCGCCATAGTTTTAAAACTGTTTTTTAAGTGGGAAAAGTCGTAAAGCAAAGCATAGTTGCACAACATCGAAGAAAACCATCTCAAAGGAAATCTATCCTCAGGTCCCTTTACATAGGATTGTTGGCCATCTTCGTTAAGAAAAAAAGAAACAAGAAAGGAGGGACGGGATCATTGCAGATTCATGTCGTTATGCAGTCAGCCTGAAATATCCCGACTGGTGTTGAAAGGCTAGAAACCGTACTCCGTTACAGGCCAAGAACAGTACATATTCATCTTAACTTTCCTCCCTTTCTATTTTTTTTCTTTCATTTCTTTTCTTTCACCCTAATTTATATGAATCTTTGTGGCATACTTCTCACCTCTGCGCTTGAACGCCCCACTAATTTTTAGCTGTTTAATTATGTAGTGTCGAATGAGGTTATGCTTGTTTTCAATACATGCTACGTATAAGTAAAAAACAAAATTATTTAATAATTTGAAAATCTTTTTCAAAATCTACTTAAATATTCATCAATTTAAAAGTGACATAACCAATATAACAAATTGTATAATATTGTTGTTGAAAAATTGCAGACTATAGAAAGACGATTTTCTTAACTAAACTCGAACTGTTACATTTTATTACGAAGTAGACCGCTAGATTACCATCTCCAGTTTTAAACACAGAAACATTTTCTTACAGAAAAAGTTAATAAACAATTTTTTGAAATACAATAATGAACCACATAGTATAGAAAAATTAATCATGAACATAAAATTGCAGTTACTTCACATTACATAAGAAATATTATATTGAAATATTCATCTTATTGCTTATAATCATTATTCTATTTGCAAATGTATAAAGTATAATTAAATTAATAAATGTTTAAATAATTTTTAATTGCTAAAATAAAATATTTAATAATTTAAACTATCTTCAACAACATTTGGAGTAAAATTATTTGTGTATATAAGATTATTTAAACAATACTAGTAGTATTTTTAGCGTTATGTGTAGATTCAAAAAAGCTGTGAATGTTTATATTCATCTAAAGTTATATTACATAATTATGTGTCAAAACTAGGATGCAAAATTAATTAACAAAAAGCATTCCATCTACTTTACTGGTAATGTAAAGATATAAATTACTATAATTTTCCATTTTGCAATAATTTCTCTCTTCCGTTAAAAATAAATTTTAAGCATTTAGTCGTTTTATCAGCAAAGCCATAAATATAATATTATTATTCAGATAATTACTAGTAGTACTTGGAATATAAATAGCGGAAATCCGACTCATCTTAAATGGATTTACAAATTTGCATCCATACACAACTACTATATTAATCACCAATGTCAGAAATTTGCATTAATAAATTATAATTAACATGATAAATTAATTTATTTTCATTATTATTAAAGTTATTTTGAATAAAGCAATTGTGAAATTTTGAATACATAAATTATTAAAAAATCGATAAATTAATATTAATGAGTTTATCAGAATATTTGTTATAATAATTATAACGTGTAATAAAAATCATTTAGCAATTATTTCTTATGAAATAAAAAGTATAAGAAAAAACGGAAACAAAAAATCTACCAAATTTCTAATAGTTTCGAATTTGAAAATTTACAACTCTACAACCACAGTTTTATATAAAATTGATCAGATAGAGCTAATTTATATATATACTAAAAAAATATATATATATATATATAATATATATAAAATAAATTTATATATAAGTAATAATTTATATAAAAATGATGAAAAATCGGTATAAGAATATCAAATTTTATTTACGAATATAAATCCAATAATGTTAAATGCACAAATCATCGGAAGAAGGTTTCTAATGTGCTAATATCATTATTGAAGTATATTTCAAGCATAATGAAATCTTTTCACCTTATGCACGTGACCAAATGCAAGAATGGATGGGCGGAGGGATCCAAGCACCTAATCACAGATATTAAGAATGTTCACAAAGGTAAAACAGAAATAAAACGAACTTATTACGCATTGCTCAACCCCTCTCCTGCACTCGTTTACTGCCCCCTTCGATCCGCCCGAAAAAAGGCGCCCCCTTGGGAGTTGATGGCGAAACGTCCAAGGATAAAAAGGAACTAACCGGCGAACGGTGGTAAAGCCACCGTGATGGTAAAAATCGTGCTCGCTCTCCGCTTCATGGCTAATCATTCACAAACACATATACGTAAGACCGTCCGTGCATGCACATGTGTTCCACGCGCGCTTATGATATTGCCATACGTACACGCGCATATACATGCTTGAGAGCGCGCGCTAACTGCTCTAACAGTACCACGTCCGTTGATATGCTTAACGAGCACAAACTGACTCAGGACTGATAGGGGGCAAGATAGATAGAAATACAAATAAGAGTGCACATGTGTGCATACGTGCATACGTCCATGCATGCGTGCGTGCGTGGGTGCGCGCGTAGCACATATCCACCCCTCTCACTCCCACTCACGGGCCTTAGTAACGGCCGTAGGAGGGGCGATGAAGGAAGGGGGCGTAGGTATAGCGCTACGCTCGCCTCGTTGGGCCCGAAGGAGCGAGCGAGAGAAAGCGAGGTGGTGGGGAAGGTCTAAGACACCACCGTTGAGTGGAAAGAAAGCCCGAGCGAGGTAAGGACAACAAAAGGGGGCAGTCGAGAAAAGAGCGAGTGCGTCCGCGCCTCAGCGTGTGCATATGTAGCACATGCGCAGACAGATGGCTGTGCTTAATGTTCTGGTGGCTAGCGCCACCTGATGTCAATTTCTTGAACGATCCGCACATCGTCATTCCGTCTCACTTCGACTCGCGGGCACTGCAAGGCGATAGAGAAACTTGCTTCAATAGATATCGACGTGCTCAACGCCACCGTCTACAGGCTTCCCATTCCGATTCTTTGTTGTGGCGCCGATGACAGTTGCGCGAATCGCTCAATCCCGTGTCGTGCGCATCTTCGAAGTTATTGTTCTAATGACAGCATGAGATCCCGAGATCACGTTCGCGGATTGAGAGCGCAACAATCCGAATCCGTTTTTTTTCCGAAAGGGAAAGCGGAACAAAAGGAACAAAAATTCT